CCACCCGCACACTGACCGCAGCCAGCGATACTTGACTTCGGTAATCTGCTGGGAACCGTGTCTTAACGATCAGTCCACTGCGGGACTCAATTTATTGATATCGTTGCGCTTTCTGTAAAATGATTTTACATCATAGTCTAATTTAAATTAATTTCAGTCTCAAATATCCCAGATCTTTTCATACACTAAATTCAGATTTAGGTAAATATGAAAATCGTAACAACTATCTTGTACATTTGATTGGCTTTCAATATTTGATTTTGGTTTTCTTACAAGGTTATGCCATTGCTCCTTTCATGTAAAATAAAGTTTTGACTGGCGTATCATTTTACATTTTTGCGAATTTTTCTTGACGCAACCAATGTTAGTGGATTTGCCTGATATTTGAAATACTATTTTACAAATCCTCTGACATTGACTATATCATCCACGTAGGGAAATCATTATCTTTCAAATCAGAAAATCAACTTAAAAGCAGTTGATAAAATTTCCACATAATAGACGACATGTATAAAAGCATTAATATACATACAGTTAATTTTAACTCTGAATTTGTCTCTTTTTTATTGCCCCTGGGATGTGGGCCTCACGGTGGGAAAAACCGTTATAGAATGCCAAGATAAGTTGTAAATCGCCAATCAACCAAGATAAGTTATAAATCGCTATGTCACCAGATAGTTATAACATACCGGGGCTTTAGTGATTAGCATATAATTAGTATTGTCTATATTATTAAACTAAATCAGTTGGATACCAAGTGACGTCATCATAGGTAAATTGTGGCATTTGTAGATTCTAAGGCTCCTATACTAATATCAGGGTCTAATTCAGGGGCTCTAGTAGATTCAGAAGCCAATCACGTTCCACACTCACACACATGACGTTGTGGCTTGCAGGTATTCAAAAATCTGATTTAAATATCATGCTTAGGCAGAGTCACTTCACTTCTTTTCAAGTTGAAAGTACCTCGTTAATCAATTTTTGCTGTTTAGTCGAACAGGAAATCTGATGGGTTCGCAAAAGCATCATTTGTCATGACAGCCTCAGAACAGTAACTATCATACACTTGATTTCAATCCGATTCAAAATGTAAACAGTCCCACAAAATTGTTATAATTTAAAAATCAAAATTTTTCGTAGTTCATTTTCAAAATTCGTCATATAAGCTATGAATTTTTTATTCGATTCTCGTCCAAGTAAAAAGCTTAAAACAGAGTCTGGTGGTTGTAAGCCAAGGGCACCCAGTACAGATAATTATTCATTGATGAAAGACAAATATGTTTTAGCCGAAAATGGGTACACTGTTGGAAGAAAAATAGATTCAGGCACATTTGCTGTTGTGAGATATGCAGAAAAATCAACTACAAATGGTTCAACGCTTCTCGCTGTAAAGGTAAAGAGGGCATAATTTTTTTCTTCGTGTGAGATGGTACATTCTACAGTAAAAGCTCTATGAAGTGCAATACTTTCCGCAATTCTCTATAAACTAAACTGGTGTAAGCAATTAAGAGAAGTTGCAGACTTGGTCGATTATCTCTAGAACTACTGAACCGATTTAAAGGAAATTTGATATGTACTGTTTGTCTAAGATAGGTACTCTGACCGCCACTAAGTCTGCGGTAGTCTGGTGCTATGGAAACAAGAAGAGGGCATTTTAGGGAGGGTAACTTCGATGAAGCGGTCTCCTTTCCTCTGGCCGAAACCAGTCCTAAAGAGGGACCCCGCACCCCTACTTGAAATAATCATACCTCGTTACCATAGTCACCGCCACAGCTCCAGACGAATGTCTGGCAGAGTACCTATCTTAGACAAATAGTACATACATTGATACAATACAAAACAAATAACCACTCAGCAATTCTAATACACATACATGATCATACGCAACTCGTTGGAGTCGGAAGGTACAAGCAACAGCAGTTGCAGAATAAACAAAAAAAAATGGTTAATAGGGGGTATGGGGTTCCCTCTTACGGATATACAGTCCTTGCAGCACGACTTCATATTTGAAATAAGGCAGTTAATCATTTCCTGCGGCAATTGTCCTGAATTGTTCTTTGGCAATTTCACACCTTCCAACTTACCCACAATCATGCTTGTGTATTACAGTTGTTGAATGGTTATTTGTTTTGTATTGCATCAATGTACTATCAATGTATGTACACATCAAATTTCTTTAAAATCGATCCAGTAGTTCTGGAGATAATCGACCAACTTTGCAAATTCTCTTAATTTCTTACACCAGTGTAGATAAACTTTAGGGGTGAAAACAATGAAAATCATGTTGAAGAAATTTCTCATGCTAAATAAAAAACCATTAACTGCTCAAAAGTTGCATGAAAAACTAATTGCCGATTACTGTCTCTGAAGCAAACTGTAATTGATTTATTTTCGTTAATTCTAATGCCCTTGATAAATTTATTTATTTTTTACCTGCAAATACGAAGTATTTACATACCTGTTTTTGTATTTTATTATAATTTGCATCTGAAAATTAATGTAAAGTAATAAGGTTATATCATAGAAGACACAATAAAGATGAAAATAACGAAACAACTTTTTAGGTATTTAACTCTTTATTTAGAGCAGTCAAAATCAAAAGCGTAGTAATAGCTGGAGAGAATAAGAAAAATATATATTTCAGGTAAATACCTTTAAATTAGAGGTACAAAATATTTTATAGAAAAACGATACCTGTATAATTTTTTTCCAGGTAAAAATAATTGTAAGAAAACTGGACCGGCTAATAAAAATTCCCCGTCAACAGTAAAAAACTCTGCTAGACCATTCTGTGATATAGATATTTATAGCTTGTATTTGAAAAGGTTCATTAAAGCAAAAAATATTTTCTGATTTAATAAGGTTTCCACTTCTGATTGACTGTTTGATGCATTTTATGCGTAAGACTTTCGTTTTGCAATTATTTCATTGGATCCTGCGAAACCATCATTAGATTTTTATAAATAGTTAGATAATTCAACTCTTTACATATTTTATAAATTCGGAGTATTTAAGAGTAGACTCTGTATTAGAGTTAATTATAACTGAAATTAAAAAAGAATGTGGGGTTTAAAGTGACAGGAATCGGCTATACTGCGCTAAGTGTAAAAGTCACAACGTACTTTCATTAGTATGGTTGAACGATGTAGTAAACTTGCTTGACCCGGTGTTTGTCTTTATCCCATGTCAACAAAGTATCGCTGTATTATGACCTCTTAAAGGAGCAAATCCTTAAGAAGTCATATAGATGAAAAATATATACAAAATATAAACAAATATATACTCGAAGTTAAACAGACTATGAGAATTAGATATCTGAGAAATTGTGCGGACATCACAGAATTTTTTCTTTTTATTTATTTAATTTTGCTTTGTTTCCATTCAAAAATCTTAGTTTCTTTCTAGAAATCAATTTCATACTTAAATTACAGAACATAATCAGAAATTAATTTAAAGAATCAAATTTTTAGATTCCTTTTACGTTGAACCACCAAATATGTGGGGTGTTGTGTAATAAAAACATATTTCAAAACTTAATACAGTCAAACATGCGTAATTTGACCACTTGCTCCGGCGATCAGCTTAAGCAGGTGGTCAACTTATGAGGATGAGTCATTGTTCTTTTTTCTTATATTATGGTTTGTAATTATAACATATTTCTCGTATATACCGATTTGTCACGTTACTAGTACATATTTCTTACATATTATTATTCTATACAAGGATAAATGTAATTAAATTTTTTCAACATAACTTAAAAATTTTATTTGTCTAATACCCCATATATATTAAGAAATTTAATATTGAGAAATTTGTGATAAAAATTTAATACAGTTAACTGCTTAGTTTAAAAACGCAACTATGCATATTTAGTTAGTGGTGGTTGCCAGTTTATTACTATTAATAATAAACTGGCTACTATTGATAATTTCTTACACAATGAATACAGAAGAACCCTTGCAGTTGGAATATTTATCATTGAATCTATTGCAACATTTTAAAATACTTGTACATTCAAACCTTTTTGTCATAAAAAATAATCCCTAATGATTATGTGGACAATAAAAGATTTCAATAACAACAAAAGAAAAAAAAATGGAATAGAATTAAGATATATAAGCCTAATAATTTTCCATCTAATCAATTTATGAAGAGGCTTAACTCAGCTTTTAATACTATTTTCCCAATTTTGTGAAATTCTGAATACCATAGAAAATTCAATGGAAAGATTAGCTTTTTTTTCGGTGAAGTTATGAAAGGTTTAGAATATAACTCCTGGGCAAATTTAATTTATTTTAGTAGTCAACATACAAAATAGATTGGTGATCAGGTTACAAAGATTATGTTCCTTTTTATGACATAATTCGTATTTAAGAAAAATCAATTGAATTATGTTCCTTTTTATGTCTAGATTATTGATAAGGCGAAAGCATCTCCCCTGTTTATTGAAAAGTTTCTGGGGAGGGAGTTAGACATTTGGCCAAGGTTACGTCATCGCCACATAATCCAAGTGGACAGAATGTTTCAAATTCAGGAGCGAATTTATGTTTTCATGGAACTGGCTGCCGGTGGATCTGTAATTGAATTTGTACAAAGGTGAGTACAGAAATAATGTACTTCACTCATTTTTCTCCTTTACACAAAAACTTCAAATGCATGGAACATTATTTACTTAAGCCGTTCGAATATCGAAATATTTTAACATGATACATTTTACTATTGAATATTTTAACAAATATAATGAGCACAATTAGTTAATAAAATGGACAACGACGGTTAAAGTTTAAAAAAGGGCTGCCTATCTCTAAGGCATTATTCTGTATGTTTTGAGCTATATTTAGAATAGTTAATGAAAGAAGTTATGCAAAACGAAAAACGTGTGTGATCAATTGCGTACTACATTTCTATTTAAGCAGTGAAACCATTTAAAAGTTGACCATTGCAATGCATCAATTTTATGGTTACGGTTAAACAGGTATCCAACTTATCAAGAAGTAACGCAACTGTTTTTGCTATTGATGTTTATTTATAGATAACAGATTATCAACTTGATAGAAAATAGAAGTGACGCAACTGTTTTTGTAATTGATGTTTAATTATTGCCTCACTTATTAAGAAAGTCCATATAACATATGTTACTCAGTACTTTTTAACTTTAGGTTGGTTAATATTTTCACTTTTCACATGATTAATTTTATGTAATTATAAGCGTAATATTGACCGGTCTATCAGAAATTGCACCTTACTGAATCGAAAATGGCTCAGTCAGAATTTATCATTTTATCAACAAATCAAAAACTATTATATGAATTATTTTAAATCAGTGAAAATTGCTACGCAATGTTATATGTTGTATGTAATTGCTACGCATGTTAATGTAATTGCTATGCAATATAAAATTAAATCAGTGAAAATTGCTANGTCATCGCCACATAATCCAAGTGGACAGAATGTTTCAAATTCAGGAGCGAATTTATGTTTTCATGGAACTGGCTGCCGGTGGATCTGTAATTGAATTTGTACAAAGGTGAGTAGAGAAATAATGTACTTAACTCATTTTTCTCCTTTACGCAAAAACTTCGAATGCATGGAACATTATTTACTTAAACCGTTCGAATATCGAAATATTTTAACATGATGCATTTTACTATTGAATATTTTAACAAATATAATGAGCACTATTAGTTAATAAAATGGACAACACCGGATAAAGTTTAAAAAAGGGCTGTCTATCTATAAGACATTATTCTGTATGTTTTGAGCTACATTTAGAATAGTTAATGAAAGAAGTTATGCAAAACGAAAAACGTGTGTGATCGATTGCATACTACATTTCTGTGTAAGCAGTGAAACCATTTAAAAGTTGACCATTGCAATGCATCAAATTTATGGTTATGGTTAAACAGTCAAGTCCAACTTATCAAGAAGTACCGCAACTGTTTTTGCTAAATTGATGTTCATTTATAGATAACAGATGACCAACTTGATAGAAAATAGAAGTGACGCAACTGCTTTTGTAATTGATGTTTAATTATTGGCCCACTTATTAAGAAAGTCCACATAGCATGTTACTCAGTACTTTTTGTTGGTTAATATTTTTACATGATTAATTTTATGTAATTATAAGCGTAATATTGACGGGTCTATCAGAAATTGCACCTTACTGAATCAAAAATGGCTCAGTCAGAATTTATCATTTTATCAACAAATCAAAAACTATTACATGAATTATTTTAAAAAATCTTCGTTAAACACGTACTACAGTATTTATTACATTTATTGTTATACTTTTACCTAAGTCCATCGAAATGGATAGAATTATTAAACCCATACGCATAAAAAACACGGTTTTGAGAAAACTAAATTTAAAATGTGCTATACTATATTCGATTCATCTATGCACGCTATAGCAAAATGAAAGTTTTGTCTTTTATATTTCTGTAAGCTTGAGTTTGTACTTTTCAGAAAATATTTTTAGGTGCGTATTTACGAAAAAAATACGCATTACACGCGAGAAAATAAAAATACATTTCTGTATTTTCCTCGTTATATCAGTTTGCGATTATATTAATGTACATAATGTGCTTCATTTTTGACGCAATTTCTTATTATAAATGTAAAACGTGGTCATTAGAAACTACCTTTCCGTGTTTCCCAAAGTGTGGTACGCGTACCACCAGGGGTACGGGAACAGATTAGTGGGGGTACGACGCGTTCTTATGTGAAATATCTTGCAATAAACGAAAATTGAAAAAAAATTTTATTTGAAAACAAAGCTATGCATGGAAATTTACGATTAAGTATTTTTCTATTGGCTATTTTTGGCAGAGCTAACAGTTAACAATTAGTGGTTTCAACTGTCAGTTGTGATTTTTAACTTTTGTAAAATTTTTTTACAGTTAAAAAATACATTAATTTTTTTATTAGTGATACACAGCGTTACGAAAAATTTAGAGAGGGTACACAAACGTCATAAGTTTGGGAAACAATGCCCTACGTAATTAAACATTGCCGACCTCCATCTGTCGGTGAAAAAGAATATCAGTTATTATTACTCATACACTACAATGAGCTACTGGAGCATTCTGGTGAAAAATAGAACAGGATGGAAAGGATTCTATTCTAGCGTAGGCTTTGGCCCACAAAATGCTGTCTAGTCAGCAAAATAAATAAATAAAGATAATTAAGAAAACAGTGTCACGCCTCTCCTCTCAATTTACAAAAATATTTGGTTTTCAGGGTGTATATAGAAAGTATCTCTTTTGAACCAACATTTCTGATTTTTATAGCAATGAAATTTCTATAGAATGATTTTTTTTTTAAATAGACATGGGGCAATTGAAGAAGATATGGCAAAAATGTGGAGCCGAAACATGTGCCAGGGTCTGCGTTATTGTCATAAAAAAGGTGTTGCCCACAGAGATTTGAAATGCGACAACTTGCTGCTGGACAAAAATCTTCAAGTGAAAATTGGCGACTTCGGATTTTGCTGTAAGAGTGTCAATTCGGCGACAAGGCTTCCCATCTACAGTACTACATATTGTGGCAGGTAAATTGTTTGTTATGACGTGACAACAATCATTCATTGAGATCATTAAAATATTTTAGTGTTTAAACTAACTTCGGGATAATTGATATCGCCTAGAAATCGGCTATTGAGGTTTCGATAATTAAATCAAAAATTACATCCTCAGGATCATTCAATCCTTATAAATGACTGTACAGTCATTTATAAGGATTGAATAACACTGAGGATGTAACTTTTGTTTTAATTATCTTGGTTTTTCAAGGGCTCAGTCGCCACATGAAATAATGCTTTTTGGCGAATAATATGCTGTTTTTATGAGGATTCGTAATAACTATTCATGACTGCTATTAGGTTGAGTTTTGCCTGTCTTTAGCCAGCACTCTCTATGTTTAAATGAAAATAGCGCAAAATGTGAACATGAAGAAAATTCATAGTTTTTTGTAATTGAAGAGCATTTAAGATCTAATTTTTTAACATATAAAAAAATGGTTTCATTAACTGTTCATTAATATTTGCAAAAATTAAGAATTTTTAATCGATTTTAATTTAGGTCCAAAGATTTCGCTAAATTTGCTACTAAGCAATTTTAATATCTTTTTAAATATTTTAGATATGTGAACATTCTAAAGCACTGATAATTCTTAGAATTATACCTTTACCAGGGCTGTGAAGTAAAAACATAGAAAAAACATTCCCATTTTCTCCCTATGGCAACGGAAAATTTTGCTTTCTCTCCACGACAGTACTGACTAGAGAAAAATCAAGATTTGATGAAAACATGGTAATGAAGAGGGGGGAAGTGCGGAGAGTGGAAAAATCACGCAACCTTAAAACGCCTAATCTATTTTAAAACAAGTATAGGAATCAAACTTAATGACTTAAAGGGGTGACCTAAAATATGCTAATTAATTAGTGCAAAGATATTTTAAGTTACAAAATGAGACAAAAATGTGCTGTCTCTGAATATTTGTTTTAAAGTCATATATTTAAAATTTGATCACTGAGAAACTATTCGCCGAATTTGTTCAAATTTTGTATTTTGTCACATGAAATTACAATCTTTAAAATTATATATAAAAATTTTTTTATATCTTACTATTCAAGATTTTTTTTTACTTTTATTATGTTGTTGTTCATTTACGTCGCACTAGAGCTACCACAATGGGCCATTGGCGACGGTCTGGGAAGCATCCCTGAGGATGATCCGAAGGCACGCCATCACAACTTTGATCCTCTGCAGAGGGGATGGCACCCTCGCTCCGATAGCCCGACGACCTGCACGCGAAGTCGAGCACTTTACGGTAGAACAGTTTAACGAGGACCAATACCGCACACCCTCGGTCCCTTCACAGACTGATCCAAGTGGTCACCCACCCGCACACTGACCGTAGCCAGTGATGCTTGACTTCGGTGCTCTGCTGGGAACCGTGTCTTAAAGATCAATCTACTGCGGGACACTGTTATTATGTAACAATAAAAAAATGAATGATTATGGAAAAAAGACTCATTTTTTGTGTGGAATTATCTTTAGATAAACGAATTTTATAATTGAGAGTAAAAAGTTTTCGATTTGCTTTAAAACTTCTCGAGATATGGAAAAATACCCAAAAGATAAAATTAACATTAAGGAGACCAGTCTTTCGACCGCTCTCCTGACTAAACGATTGGAACCTTATTTTGAGGGTCAGGAATCTAAATCCATCGAAAAATATGTATGTTTATTCAGAGAAAGTACGTTTTGTATCTGATTTTGTAATTCAAAGCATCATGTGCACTAGTAAATTAGCATATTTGAAGTCAACCTTAAACCATTAAGATTGATTTCGAGTTCCGCTTTTATCCCCGCCTGTAAACTTAACTAAAACACATGCTCTTTGAAACATTATTCGAGTCTTTATTAAACAATATATTTTATACAGTGAGACAATCTGTCATAGCGAACCATCTGCAGAACCAGCAATAAGTCCACTATAAACAATGGTTGACTATATCTAAAATCTTTGAAAAAATATTTAGTATTGTTGGAAATAGTGATTATTATTATATAGTTGTTGTAGTCATTTAAGTCGCACGAGAGCTAAACAATGGGCTATTGACGACGGTCTGGGGAAACGTCCCTGAGGATGATCCGAACACATGCCATCACAATTTTGTTCCTCTGCAGAGTGGATGGGTCCCGCAGTGGACCGATCGTTAAGACACGGTTCCCATCAGATCACCGAAGTCAAGCATCACTGGCAACGGTCAGTGTGCGGGTGGGTGACCACTTGGATCAGTCTGCGTAGGGACCAAGGGTGTGCGGTATTGGTCCTCGTTAAACTGTGCTACCGTAAAGTGCTCGACTTCGCGCGCAAGTCATCGGGCTACCGAAGCGGGGGAGCCATCCCCTCCGCAGAGGATCAAAATTGTGATGGCATGTCTTCGGATCACCCTCCGGGATGTTTCCCAGACCGTCACCAACAGCCTTTTGTGCAGCTCTAGTGCGACGTAAATTAACAACAATAACAGCAGAGTGGATGGCACCCCCGCTTCGATAGCCCGACGACCTGCTCGCGTAATCGAGCACTTTACGGCAGAACAGTTTAACGAGGACCAATACCGCACACCCTAGGTCTCTATGCAGACTAAACCAAGTGGTCACCCACCTGCACACTGACCACAGCCAGTGATGCTTAACTTCAGTCCACTGCGGGAACCGTGTCTTGATAATCAGTCCACTGCGGGACCTATGATTATATAGAAAATTATTATTATATAATAAAGTAATTTGATTATTTCCTAATTTTTTTAGTTCATCGTATGTTGCTCCTGAAGTAATAGAAGGACAGCCATACGATCCTATATCTGCTGATATCTGGAGTGCTGGAATTTGTATTTTTGTGATCCTGAATAACGCTATGCCATTCGATGACAGCAACATAAGACAAATGCACGACGACCAGGTGACCAAGAACTGGAGTTACACTTCAAAATGCAAGAATAAGTTATCGCAGTCGGCAAAGAGACTCATTAGCAGGATGCTTGAACCTTTGCCATCAGAGAGGCCATCCATGGATGAGATCCTGAGCTGTACTTGGATGCGACGCACTTAGTTTAAAATTTTATTAAAGAATAAAATCAAGTGGAACAAAAAATGGCTGTTGTCTGTGATTTTTTGGTACAACAGGTAATTTTATTTTATAACTAGCGTTGAGCAGTCGAAACTGACCCAATTCTGAATTAAGGCCAATCAATGGTCAATTCCGAAGTCTTGTAATTTTGAACCCAATCCAGAAGGCGGGAAAAATCCTGCATCAAATATTGGGACAAATGCCGACCACCCAGTGTAGGGGTCAGGGAACTGGCCTTGCATCAGATAGGTTCTGGGCTCGAATCCTGGGCAAGGCATGGATGCTCTTTCTTTCTCTGTACTATCTGTATTTACTGTGGGAGCAACGTTGGCCCACCTAATATGGTGCTTCCGAAAGAGTGGCCAACAAATTTGCCCTTTCTGCCTATATATATATATTGGGACAAACTAGCCTTTGCGGGGGACTTATTGATGGATCTAACTAGCATTTGTCTTAACGTGGTACGGAAAATCATGAAAACCTCCCAAAAATAACCCGACGGCAAGGGGATTCTACCCCATGATTCGTTTACTATATTTTATATCAGCACCGTCGTCGGTGCTATCTGGGAGCTGAGTTCGTCGAAGCAGGAATTCGTACCCATGTCGCCCAATTGGGAAGTGAGCGCTCCATCCCCTTAGCAACCGCGGCTTTGCCTTTTTTTTAAAAATCTAGTTCTGATCTAGTTTAGAATTTTCTTAACGTGTATGTCTCTGATAAGGCGAAGCATATGAATACCGCCAAATCCACAAGCAAGTAATGTTGATGCAATGATTAAAAAAGAATAAAATTTAAAATTCTTTAAAAATTGTATTCTTAAATTTCCTCTGCAAATTTAAGAATACAATTTAAACTTAAGAATACGATTTAAGAAAATCAATCTTATAAGGAAATTATCTTAAATTTCCTCTGGAAATGTATGTCTCTGATAAAGAATTAAGAAAACTCGTATAAATTATATGATTTTCACAGGCCGAAAAATACCTTAAATATTTTTAGAATAATAAATTAGATAGAGAAAAAATAAGTGAAAGTATACACATTAGGGAAAAATCACGCAACCTTAAAACGCCTANAGCAAAAAAAAAAAAAACGCTATTATAATGTAACAATGTATGATTGAAATTACCAAATCTAGTTTGATTGTGGGAGGAAAAAATTACTAAAACATCTTCAGTTTCATCAGGCATCCAAACTAGTTTTAGTGTTTAGCATCTCACGTTCCTTACTAGTGATTATCAAATATTAATTTACAACCTCTAATATTTGTATATATTTTTATATAATATTTGTATTTATTTTTAGTGTATATTTTTTTGCTACATTTTAAACAAGGATTTTAAAACAAATTCTCTTATTAATGGCTGTGATTACAAAACACTCTGAATATACTTTGCATCATCAAATTTTTAACTAAGATTATAGTTAGTAGAAATATTGTAATCACTAGCTTTTAAGATCATTAAGCAAGATCATCACTAGCTTTTAAGCTCGGAGACTCATTAATGACCATGCCAAAAAGAACTCTTAAGCTTCATTAAATTTAAAACTTTATAATAAATAATTACAGTTTAGCTGAATATTTAAATTACTCACTTAAAAATTACTGAAAAATATTAGTAAAATAAAATTAATGAAAAAAAAAATAGTGCTACCGAACTAACTTAAAATACACCATTCTTTCAATAATACTCAATCAAGATTTTTTTCTATATCTTATTAAACTCTTCAATTAAAATTACTTATTAAATTTATATTCTATTGAATTGATAATTAACTCACAAGAAATATCTGTTAAGGTAATATGACATCTAAAAGCCAGCATTTTTTATGATTTCTAAATATATCTTTAATTATCTAATATATATTTTAAGAAATTAAATATTATTCATTTAATTATCCACATTATTGGAAATAGACTATTCTAAATATCTCTTTTTATTACTCGAGTGTTTATTAAATAATATTGATTATACAGTCAGACCATTCTACACAGTGAACCATCTGCAGAACTAGAAATAAAACCACTATAAACAATGGTTCACTATATTTAAAATCTTTGAAAAATATTCAGTAATATTGTTGGAAATAGTGATTGCAATAGTATATAATTTACTTAATTCAATTACTAAATATGAAGAGCTTTTGAACAACGAAGCTTCCTTAAAACAAATTTCTTAACATAATGACGTGGTAGACTCTTTATATTTTAGATGTTCATCAACTCGCATTACTCATTTCAAATACTTTTATAATGTGACATTTTTCAAATTAATTTAAAATCATAATTATATAATTTTGAACTTATCACATAGACTTAAACATTTTGTATCATTTATTTAAATAACTACAAAAATGAAATTTAAATCCACTATAAACGAATCGCCGATTTCTCAGCTGTTCACTATAATAAAGGAAACAACTTAAGTTAAATAGTAGTTAAATCAGGACCATTAAAAACAAAATTTGAATTTACTATAAACAAATTAGAAATTTCTAATCTGTTCAGTATATGCATAAGTAAAATATTAGTTAAGACCACTAAAAATGAAAATTGAGTTCATTTTAAACCAATTTCTCTGTTATTCACTATAAGCGCATGAAACAAAATAAGTTAAATAGTAGTTGAGACAAGATCATCAAAAACGAAATTTGAGCCCACTATGAACTAATTACCAATATCTCAAATATAAGCATGTCTAAAATATAGTACAAAAATATACACAATATTTTTATATACGTCTATTAAATAATTGACAAATGGAAAATGAATTAAATAAATTTGAGATATGAATTAAAATAACAAATAACTAATAGAAGAGAAAGGAACAAGAAGCAGAAGAGATTTTAATAATTTTTATTAAAATGCTATTAACACACACATATAATTGTCAGAAGATGATCGTCTAATACTTCGTGTTTAATGAATAAATTTCAACATTAGGTAATGCAATGATGAGTTACAATGTTTTTACAAAATATGATATAAATGATGCTAAACAATGAATTTACTTTTTAATTGCTTAAGTATAAGTTTTCTTTGATTATTTGTGCAAATAACAAGTTAATGCATAGAGAAAAAGCAGACTAAATGCAAATAATTTAAACAACAACAGTTTGGAAATACAAAAAATAGCATTTATAAACAAATCAATTAAAAAAAAATACAATAATTATGATGTTACCATTCTTAAAATAATAAAATGATAACAGTATAAGTTCAGCCTAATTGCCCTTATAAAATAAACATGGAGCACTATCTACAAATGGCATGCAATAGCTTTAACCTTTTTGCTTTAACTACTGGAATTAAATTCAAATTAAGGCGGCACATGATTTTTTTTCTGCCAAATAAACTGATTTTCCTCTATGTTATTATTTAATGCAGAAACAGTGTTAGCAGGATATATTGTTCCATTAATTTATATAAATCCATCCATGTAACTAAACAATTAAAGGGTTATAGCTTTAAACAAAAAAGCAAATGATATTAATAAAGGACTTATAATAAGCAATCAACTAATTATTCTTTTCTTAATCAAAATTCACTCTGTTCTATATACAGTGAAACCTCCAAGAAAGACCATCTCTATTTACGACCACTTTTGGAAGGCACACACTTTACGTTCAAGAAAAACTTCAGGGAGTGACCATCAACACATCTCCTAATGATTGAGCAAAAGTCTACGGATAGTCTAAAACTCTACGGAATCAAATACGGATAAGGTACAAAATAAATAAGTAGATTAAAATGTATTTAAATATTTGTGTCAGGCTCTTATTTAGACAATTTTTTTTTCCTTTTTTTTGTTGGACGATCTCTGAAAGAGACTACAACCTCATGTTGCAGTCACAGTGTACTAGAGACGATGCTATCAATGATTTATTTTTAGAGTTGTAAGTTAATTAGAAAAAAACTAAACAACTCAAATAAACAAACTTCTTCAACTTTTAAAGATAACTAATTTTTGATATAAAATTAAAATGCAAACTGAAGCAAAAACATAATTGCTTATTTATTTAAAATAACTTTATCATTCATAATTTGAACATTTGTTTTTAAATATAATTATATCAGTGAGGATAGTTTTTATTGATAATAAATTTTATTCATCAATCCGGTTTTCAGATGCCGACACAAGTGGAATTTCCGCATCAAGAAAATGACACTGACTAAAATTAAAATTCTTCGTAAAAAATCATGCACCTTCCATAACATTTTGAACCCCTAAGAATGAACAAACTCCATTAACGACCGTTTTACAGTGGAATAGAGAGTGGTTGCTCCAGTGAGGTTTCACTGTATAACAATCTTTTAAGTGAATTTTCAAAACTGCTACCACAACAATTGAATATAGCAACAGCAATGAAGTTATTAAAAAACTAAGAAATTAGATTAAAAATCAATTATTCACAGAAAAAGAGCTAATAAGCAACTCAAAGGAACCCCAAGAAAAGATATTAAATAAGGAGAAATACAATGACATTTACACAATTATTAAGTAAAATAAACAGATAAGGAAACTACTTAAAATTCACAATTTTTAGAAAGGTATTTTAAAACATCTTCATAAAAAGATTCTTAATATGTATATTGAAAGTGTTTAGATAACTAATTGTTTAAATAATAGTACTGCAGAACAAAAATAGTAGTAAATAAAATGTCAAGTATGATAATTACTATTTTTTTTAATATAAATTAAATGCATACAGAAAAAAAAATTTAATTATTTAAAAAAAAACTATTGCAAACATACCAATTTGTTATTATTACACTCAATATATATTATATTGTAACTTATGAAGAACTATCAATATATCATAATGAATGAAAAAAAGAATCAATATTATAATAATTTTATATTTTGATATTAACAAGACATGGGAACTGTTTATATTTCTGAGACAAAAAATAAAAAGTAATAAAAACCAAACTGAAATTTTTTTATCCCTAAACATGATTAAACATTAATTAAATAAAAAATTGCCTTTCGTCAAAAAAAAAATAAAATAAAATTCTACTAGTCAATTATTAACAGTAATTCTAATTGAAAAGCCTGAGGCAAAACAATAAGGCATATTTTCAAATGATTCAGGCTTTTTTTTTTTTTTTGGCAAAAAACACCACAATTTGATAGTATACTTGTGTTGCCCTTAAGTAGAAATTCTGAAAACTTAAAATTACCTACATACAAACAATAGCAGCAAAGATGCAATTATATGATGTAAAAATATCAACTTTGGAGAGGTTTAGCTCTCCAATACAGTGACAGCTGGTTTATGCACTAGTTAATCACACTTCATAATTTACTGCAAGTGAGATAAGTACTGCCTGTGAGTTTGCGAGTCAGAAATGTCCAGGGAAAGTTTTACAATTATTTTCTAAAAAACAGCAAGTTCTCAGGTGACAGAAAGAATTCTTTTTTCCACATACTCTTTAATGGCTAAATATTTTTTATCAATGTTTAAATTCTAAGTTCTCTATTAAACAGCAAAGTTTTTCTTTTACTAGAATTAAGAATCAACGAGGTCATCTTTATTCGTGTACTTTAATTTGTAATCAACTTTAATTAGTGTACATGAACTTATTAATACAAATTATATTAAAATTTATTAAACAATAACACCAATTTCAATTGTACTTTCTGATTGAAAATTAAACTTAATAAATTTACTTTTCAATGAATTCTATAGTATATCAGCTGTTTATTCGAATCAAAATCTCAGGTATTGATGTGCAACAAATGCAATATCCAGATATTGTATATTGCATAAAGCCTTTCAATCAATCTAAATAATTGCTTATTAACTTTTTTTTTAAAAATTTTCTCATTAAATATTCATATAATTGATAAGTGTTAATTTAAGCAGTTTCCTAATGCACAGTGTGTAAAAAATAAATGGACCAAACTGAATAACTTTTGATTAAAGAATAGGATTTTCACATTCTTGGACTCAATCTTAATGGTTTAAGAGTAAACTCAAATTTGCAAATTAATTTATCCAAAAAAAAATTTATTAAAAAAATTTTTTTTTCCCAAAGATAATTCCAAGCTATAAATAACTTTCAGCAAATATTTTTGTTATTTTATTTACTAATAGTAAAAAAAATGTGAAATTCTGAGGTAAAAATTTTTTACGTCGTTTTAAAGAATGTGGCAAAATACAAAATTTGAGCAAAATCAGTTGAATAGTTCCTAAGAAAATGAAATTTAAATATACGACTTTTTACAAATTCTATTCTCAGGATCAATTCCGATTCTGCTCCAACTTTGTATCTTGCCATATAAAATTACATTCGTTAAAATAACACAAAAAATTTTATACCTTGCAATTTAAAAAAATTTTCAACTATTACTAAACGAAATAAATATATATATTTACTAAAAGCTATTTTTGCCTTTGGATAAATGAAATTTATAAATGAGTGAAAAAAATTTTCAATTCACTTAAAAAGTTCTTGAAATGTGGCAAAAAAATGAAATATCAAGGGTAGATGATAATCACTATTATAATCTTAACTTTAAAACACTCTCTTGACCAAACTATTGGAACCATACGTCCTGGATCAAACCTACTGTATTTTGGGGGTCAAAAATACTAATCTGTCGGAAAAAAAATATATGTTTATCCACAGAAAATATGTTTTTGTATCTTATTTCGTAACTTAAAATACTGTCTGCATTCATTAATTAACATATTTCACTCCCGCAATAAGCATAGGTCACTTCCACAAACTATTAAGATTGAGTTCTAGATCTGATCATTAAATCAAAATGGTCCGTTTCTGTTTTTTTAGTGCTTTACACACATACATGTTTAAAATGAAGTAAGAAAAAAAATGTTTGATTATAAGTGAAATATCAAAGACATACAACACTACTATCTAATATGCAAAACAAGGAAACAGATATCATCTACAATGGCTTAGAAGGTGCATTTTTACACTATATCTTCGTGTAAATCTCTTTCCACACATATTGCATGAAAAGGGTTTTTCCCCCGTATGACTTCTCATATGAGTCTTTAAAGTGCCTTTTTGTGTAAATCTTCTATGGCAATATTGACAACTAAAGGGTCGTTGAACTTCATCAGGGACAGTAAATTGCTCCACGATTTTTATATTAATTCCTGCAAAAGAACAATAAGAAATTATAAAATGCTAATTTTAAAATTCTAAGTCTATCATGATTGTAGTTTTTTTTAAATCCCATTACAATTTTATAAAGGTATAACTATAAAGAAAACTTTCAGTAAAATGCAGTTTATAAAGACATTTTCTTGAAAATGTGCAGATAATATTGCTAAGTACTGATTTATCAGCAAATATTTAGTGTTTTTTTAAAAAAGGAAAAGTTAGACCTAATAATAAAAACATTCTTGAATTTTCACAAAACAATCTGTATGAAATATATATATATATATCTTGGAATAATACAAAACAGCAAGTGAGAAAAAACACCTAATTTTTAAAAATCTTGATTTTATAAAATTACTTTGATGTGAGGGACTTACAAATGTTCAATGGTTCATTAAAAAAAAACTACACATATTGAATTTTTTTTCAAAACTAATGTATCTTATATAGACACCACAATTACCCTTATTTATTTCACTCCTCACAATGAGACAATAGAAAACAGCTCTTGGCTCCTTTTTCTATTGTCGCTTTTTGTCTTTAATACAAATAAGAATTTCAAGAGTGATTTTTGAATGTACTCGTAACATTGTTAAGAATAATTATATTAAATTGTGAAGAGGAATTTAAGAACAACAACTTTGAATTAAAGAAAAGCAAAATTCATTAATACATAGTTCAAAGTTATTTTTGAGTAAAAATTTAACACCTGGTCAAACTAAAATATTTAGATTAGAAATAAAAGAGCTAATAGGAAATACTAGAAATGAAAAAGAATGATTTAAAAAAAAATTGCTTCAAGATAGAGCAAATTTTTTTTCCATTAAAGAAAAAATTATCTGCTTTGGATAAGTGAGTTTTATAGCTGTGTGCAAAAAAAATAAATAAATAAATTGAATCAGTCTACCTTCTTGAATAAATTATTGAGGTCACACATCCCAAATACAGCTAGCCTATTTTTAACGAACATAAATAGAAATCTGCCGGAAAAAGATATGTTTATTCGATACTAAAAAAGGTGTTTCTATGTCACCTTTCATAACTTAATTCATAGTAACTAATTAATTTTAACTAATAAATACTGATAACTAATTAATTAGCATGTCAGAGAATGGCTCTAAAAACCATAAAACTATCTTAATTGAAACTTAAAATGAAAATCTGATTATTAGGTTGAAAGTATTTCAGGAAGTAGCATTTTTTTTATTTTACACACTCCACATCAGTATTTTAACAGATAATCTCATTCCAGCTGGGGAAATTTTTTTTAACAGCTTTCAGCACAGCTAAACAGTTTTTTCACCATATGTAGTTCAATGAAGCAATAGTAGAAACTTCCTATGCTTTATTTCAAAATGGAAATCTTTGCAAAATTTTTAGCGGGACTTATAACAGTTCAAAAATGACATGTGTACCTTAACAATCAACAACATACCAATTTCAGGGAATATATAATTAAAAATAATTGAAAAATATATAAACTATTGTTTAGAAAACTGGTTTAACATAAATTTTAAAATATGTGAAAAATGTGATAAAAAAACAGCAACTCATTTTAATTATTTAAATGAGCATTTTGGGAAATAAAATAATAAATCAGCAAAAGGAAAGTCTTTTTATACCAGAAAACAATTTTAATAACTTCCTCTCTATAAAATATAATTTATTTAAATGTTCAACATTAAAGCATTGTGATAGGTTAATGAATTTTTCATTTAATAATCTGCATAAAATTATTTTGAAATATTTAGAAACGTAACATAAGGTTCATATCCATCATTAAAGACTGCTAAAAGATCGAAAAGTTGCAAGAGATTTTTTTTCCAACATTTGAACATTCTTCAATTGTACAAAAAATATTCATAATGAATAAATTTAGGAAAAAGAAGAGTAAAAGTATCAATTTGAAATGTATTTAGTAATAAAATAAAAAGCATGCAACAATCACTTAAAAAAATAAGTCAGAATATAAAAAACATATGTCTGACAATAACAAAATAGGAAGAAACTTGTAGATAGATTGACACAAGTGATATATTAAAAAAAAAAAAAAAAGGAAAATTAAAGGAAAGAAACAGTTTAATGAATAGTTATTAAAGTGTACTGATTAGTACAACTAAGAGGTAGCTATGATAACAGACAAAATTTATAAATAAAACCCAAGTTGTATAGTAGCAACTTTAAAATTTGAGGTGAACTGTAAAAAACAATTTCTTTTTAAAAAAAATCGAGGAATGGGTTGGAATTTAAAATTGGTAAAAAGCATAGTCATTCAATGTGCAAGGAGAAAGTATGAAACCAGTTTTTGAGTTCCAAATTAGAACTTAAGAATAGTTCACATTTATTAGATAATTTAGAAACAGTTTTAATGGAATTATTTATAGCTAAAATAATAAATAAAATGGTTCTATTTAAATAATTGATCATAATAAAAAAATATTACATAGAAACTATTCTTTTCTAATTTCCATTAATGGAAGAAAAAAAACTTATTATTTACCGTATAATTTTGAAATGTTTAATAATTTCTAATACAAAATTACCTTAATATACCCTATTACAAGAAAAACAGCTAATTTTATTGTATGTATAGATATTTTTACGGAAAATCTGAACTATTTAAGCAATTTTTGGTTATAAAATAACGTTGAACTGAATTACAATAAAAAAATTTTGAATGATAAATTACTTATACAATGATTTAATTTTTGAAGTAATTGACTGTCTAAAATTTTAAAACTTATTCATAAAACCTGAATTATTTTTTTTAAAAAAATGATAATTTGTGCAGAAAAAATATACACATTACGTTTTAATGCAATTAAAAAAATAAAATTTTTACAAAACAAATTGCCAATAAAAAAATTATATATAGGGTGTATGCTTTGTTTTATGTGTCAAATAATGTGCAAAATAAATAATGAAATAAAAATTATTAAATTGCATAGTTGTACAAAAAGAAAATATTCAAAATCTACCTTAAACATATTTTAAAAAAATTAAATATGATTGGGAAATTAATTTTTTTTCTTCACAAAAAAAATATTTTAAGAAATTATTTTATTACATAAAAATTAACATTCACTTATGCTATTTCATAGAAGGTTATTACATGGGGGATATTTTCTTGTGAATCATTGAATGAATCTTCATGTTCGACTTATGAGAAAATTTCTTTCCACATTCAGGACACTCGAAAGGTCGCTCTCCAGTATGAATTCGCATGTGAACGGTCAAGTTTCCCCTTTGACTGAATCCTTTTTGACATATTGTGCATATATATTGGCCATCCCTACGATGCTCGCACATGTGTGCTCGAAATTCCGCAACAGATGCTGCAGTGAAGGAGCAGTGTAAACACAAATGAAGTTGATCACTTACAGTTGTTGTAATTATTTCAATTCCTGAAAAAGCATTAAAGAAAAAAATAAAATAAACTATTATAAGCAAAGCATATGCAATAATAATTACACAAAAATGTTTTTGATAACATCAAAAAGCACTTTCTTTTACAAATAGTTTTTTTTGTTAGTTTGAAATTATTTTTTAGATTTCTATAAGTGGGTGAAGAATTAATTCATTATTTAAAAAAATATGAGTAAAAAAATAAAAATGCTCTCTTTTAATAATAATATCAGTTAAGAAAAACATAATTTAAAAAAAATGACAATGATTTCTAGTTTTTTTCTTTTTTTTTTTTACAATTTTTAATAAATTCTAGTACAGATATTCAAAACCATTACATTTAGAATTTAATATGTTCTAAAGCTCTTTTAAAATAAAAAGAAGAAATACTTAATCCTAAAAAATATTAGAACGTTAAACAAAAAGGGTAAAGACATTTTTATACATATATTTTTTTTAATGGTAGATAAAACTTAAAACAGTGTTTTAAAACTATATGTAGCATTAAAACTTTTGAATAAATACAGAAATTATTTTGAATTTGTACAATGCTGTCAAAGAATTTAACACATAATGAGAATCTAATTCTAATTTCGTCTCTCTTTTTTTTTTGTCATTATAAAATTAAAGTTAGTAACCATATCAAGTGTCAAGCTAGAATGAAATTTGAAAAAAATATATATATTTATTCAAAATACTTTGGAGAATTTCCAGCACACAAAATAAAAAAGGGAGGGGGGAAAAAAGGATCAAAACAAGAAAAAAATGGAAATTTTAAACTCCTCAAAAAATCTTATGAAAAAAAAATTTCGTTTCTATATCCAAGAAATATCATTTGTAAAATATTTTGGAGAAATTCCTAAAGAAATAATGACACAAAATACACAGAAAAAAAAATCTAACTTAAAAAGAAAAAAAATTCTAACTTAAACTTTATATTATTATTAATATTTTTAACATTTCTTTCATATTGTATAAAGAAAGCGTAAAGGGAGCAAGTAGTTTAAAATAAATATATTTAATTAATTTGTGTCACGATAATAATTTTGCATATGCAATCCATAAACATGCATCTTGAAGTGTAGTCTCCTTTCCCTGGGTTAAGAGGCACAATAAATCAATTTATGAACACCTAACAAAAATATTTAATAATTAGTTTTCAAAACACAAAAAGCCATAGACATAATTATAAAAATAAGTCACTTTAATGTCACAGATACATATAAAAAAATATCAACTTTAAATGGGATTCAAAAAAATAGCTTTTACTCCCATAAACTTAATGATACAATTTGATTACAAGCAGTTCCAATGTAACAGGCAACACAGTTTCAAGTAAAAAATAGATAATAAATATGAAACAAGTTTAAAATAACACAATGTATAACTTTAAACTACTAAACAATATATAAATTACAGGCAATCACAAAAAGTTCTGTTCAGGAACTAAACATCCAACATTACCCTCAGTTGTAAGAAATATAATAATAATGACCTAAACATAGAGCTCACATTGGCTAAATAATGAATATAAAATATCGGGTGAATCGGACAATTCTATTTAGGGTCAATATTGGTTGTAAAGTGGCTGTAAAATATCAGGTGAATCGGACAATTCTAAAAAGGTCCAATATCAGAAAAATAATGGTCCTTTGAACCCTTATTAAGCCAAGATTCATGAATAGTATTCCAATGAGGACCCAAGTTATTTTGCTGCTAAGGTTCATTTAGAATATTTGAATGTACTGTAAATTAAAATAACTAATTATGCATGAAAACAAATAACTAACGAGTTTAATGGATAAAATTTAAGTTCATTCATTTTGTAAGAGAATCATAAAAAAGAATTGAAAGCATTTTTTTTTAAAATTTACAGGGAATGCATCATAACTAAAATGTCTTAAGCTTTGCAAGCTAATAAAAACGCTCTTTTTACATAATATATTTTCCTAAATTTAAGTTGTTTCTAACACATAGCCAGAAAATTAATGCATTTTTTTTTTCTCATAACAGTAGATTGACATATTAGCAAAAGGAAAAAATACAGGACCAAAATTTAACTAAAATTAGTAATTGTAGTAACAGAAACTATAAAATTTTTATTAGCAATTTTAAAATGTATTATTTTAAACAGGAAAAATATCTAGCTCTAGCATAAATTATAATATCTGTGTCATTGTAATCAAAGTAATGAAAAGAAAACCTATTAAATTGAAGACATCATATTATATAAAACTCAATTCTTCAAAAATTTAAATCATCATTATAGTACTTATTTTAATTTCACTGACTTAATTTCATAAAAATTTAAAGCACTTGCCAAATACAAATATGTTAATTGCAGTCAGTTTAACACATTACCTACTTAATAAACATAAAAATTGGTACACAACAGCAAATTACTATAATAAAACAACTATTAAAAAGTTCTTACTACATACAGCACAAAATTTATTAAAGTAGTTCAGAATTCAAAACTTAATTTCCCTATTATATTTCAGCCAAGATGAAACCTTAAACTAAAACCATATTTTTTATAATCCTGAAACCTTTAAACCAAAAAAAAGGGGAAAAAAAGGGGGAGCGAATAGCATTTAACAGAGATAAAATAAAAGGTGCGTCAAGCAAAAGAGTCACATAAATATTCTTTTTATCTACAGCAAGAAAAACAATAAAGAAGTCTGAAGCAAGAAAATGCGAAAAAGGCTTCTTTTGAAAGACTTAGTCAGCAGCGGAGCAAGTTGCTGACAAATCATGTCAAGCAATTGCTCTTTCACAATAGTCTTTTTCTTTGTGATCAGTGTAACAGGGTGAGTAGCCAGATTGTTCAACAAAAAATAAGCACCTTTTAAGCACTCAAAAAATATTTTTAATCACTTTTTTAAAAAAAAATCATAATTAGGATCTGTGCAGTAATAAAAATAATTTTTTTCTTTGTCTAAAGTTCTTACTTTATAAATATAAAACCAATAAAATTCATAAACATTTTCATAAACTTTGCATAATCATGATAATAAGTAGTTTCTGATAAATATTGCAGAGAAAATTGCAAAAATCATGATTATTTATTTTTTTTGTAATTTAGAACGACAATTGATACAGTAAAGAAAAAATCTCTTTTTAAAAGATAGAAAATTATACACATTTTACAAACTCTGAATAAAAAAAAGGCACCTTTAAGGGGCTTTAAAAAAAAGAAATCAGAAATAAGCACTTTTTAAAAACGCTATGCACCCTGGGTAAAGTCGTTAATAAATGCAGAGGCTACTTATGCATACCAAATCGCAGAAAAGCAGTCTTCTTTTATTAAAAATTTGAAGAATAGGAGAAGGGAATTAATTAAAACCCAAGCTCAAGATACACTAGTGACACAGTATAATCCAAAAATCAACAATTAAATCCCAAACCCTGACTTATCAACAGGGTTTGGGGCCCTGCGCCTCGAGCATGTGTTAAATTTCATGGATAAACTGTTGAGATAATTTCTTGACTCTATTAAAATTACAGTACAAACCTTTTTATCAGCTTTAAGAAGGATTTAACTCACTAGATAAATGTGAAAAGAACTTTGTCTTTTTACTAAATCAAATCTTTATGTTTAAGGAAGTCAACTAGGTAGCATCGTAAATATTAGGAAGAATTCATATATATATAACATAATTATCTAATATAATTATCATAATTATCTATATAACATAATTATCTATCTTAGAAACAAAAAATGAACCTCTAAAAATATAGAAACGGATTATCTAATTGCTTACTGTGTCTTTTTTTCCCCTTCTTGATCAGATAATGGTTGCATTTGGATTTATACAAGATTTACAAAAAACTATCATAAATATATGACTTCTTAAATAAAACATTTATTTAATTGGAGGAATAAAAATAAAAAACAAGTAATTACAAAATTGTACTTATTACTAGTAATTTAAAAATAATAAACTCCTTTCCATTGAGGACACAATTAAAATATCAGTTTGCTACTTAAAGGAAAATTAAAGCTCGTTTTTATTACTATATACATATTCCTTAAGACTTTGTTTCAAAACAAAACTCAGTGGCACCAAAGCCCATGGAAATCCAAGGCAAACTGTGCCCATCCCAATAATCTTGACCTTGGGCTCTGCAGTGCATGAGAAGCTGTTTCGATTGGGTGGTTAGCTGAACACGGAACCCCCGACTAAGCATGTGTTGTATTCATTTTATCGATCTATTGAGGGAATGAAAGGCTGAGTACGTTCTAAGGATAGAGCCCCAGAATACTTTGCTTCTAACAAATATAAAAATGTTTGTTTAAATTGCTAAAGAAACAATTTATTTTCAATATTACAACTTTTTTTTAAAATTTATTATTTTTACACTTACAACTATACAGCATAATTTTCAAACCATTAGCATTTGAATAAAAAAAAATCTAATAAAATGGTGAAATTAAATAAAATAAAAACTACTATTTTTTCTATTTTAAACTACTTTTTAATAGCATAATTCATAACAATATGGCATTTTCAATTTTAGTTACACACATATAGATATTGCACTGCGTATTTTGAAGAATAATCAAGCTTTAAAAACCACTCAGTATAAAAATATATTAGCTATTTAAGCGTCAACAACAATGAAATTCTTTCATCAAAACTTTTTTTTAAAGAATTCTGAACAATACAATAAAAACTTAATATGACAAAAGGGAAAACTAATATTTTTCTCATGATGAATAAAAATAAGGCAACTGAGAGATCAGGATATTTAGCAGAATAAAAATATAAAAATTTTATCAAAAAAAATAGTGTAGTAGGAAAATAAACCTTACCGTAAACTAATAATTTAATTTAGCTATATAACACTTAAAAATATACAATTTAAAGACAAAATACTTCATCAGCCAAAGCACATTAATTAGTTGCCATCGTCCTGATTTTAAATTAAAAATCAGGAATTTTAAATACGAAATCACCTACTATGTGTCATAAAATGAACTTTCATACTGTATTTCCTAGTAAATTTTTTCCCACACAAACCACAAGAAAATGGTCTTTCCCCCGTATGCATCCTTAAATGAGTTTTCAGATTTCCTTTCAAAGCAAAGCTTTTATGACAAACTTGACAGCTGAAAGGCCGGACTTCATCGTGAACACGCATGTGTCTTCTGAGAGACGCCAAAGTTGGACGAGGATAAGAACAAATTGAGCAGATGTAAGCTGATTTTTCTTCATTTAGACCAAAGTAATCCAAACCTTTTAAAAAGATTTTCTCATTAGCAAGCATGCAATACAAAACATACACAATGGTATCAATGAATCTAATACAGAATAACAATCAAAGAAACTAACACAATATATATTTTTTAAGCATTGTACGAGCGAAAATATTAAAATTTTTGCATTTTTTAAACAAATTCTTTATTTCCAAATACCTATTTGTTATTTCTTTTTCCTATGTATTAAAAATGGTTTAGAAAATTTTAATCAAAATTTCATATTCAATAACATTTTTTCTTCTAATGGCAATTGAAAAACACTTATTTTATATAACATCTAGTGACACCTACTAATCTTCAGAATGAAAATCTTGAGAAGAATTTTTGTACTAATTAAAGTGAATAATACACAGTGGAGAATAAGAAACAATAGTGAACTTGACCATTTAATAAGACAAAAAAACATAATACAATCAATTAAATCCAGATGTTTTGCAAGGCAGGGGCACATTAAAAGATTAAGTGATTATAGAAATCTAAGAATACTTTTAAATTGGAAGCCTTTGAACTTGAGACTAAGAGGAAGACATAAAAAGAGATAGTTGGACGATACCATCAAAGATCTAACCACCTTGAAGGGAAAGATGAAAGCCGAAAATAGGAAAGTCTGGAGAAAAAAAAATCAACAGGCCAAACTTCACAGCGGATTCTAGTGCCGTATAAGTAACATCTAGTGGCAAGACCAAAACTTTACAGGCAACAACCCCAAAGAGGACAGATTACTTAATATTTTGTCTCAGCGACTAGATACTTTTATTGGAAAGAATCCATACTTCTTTTCAATACTTATTTTTTTTAACAAAAAAATATCATGAATTAATTCAAAAGATATTTCTTTTTAAAGTTAAAAAAATTTGAAAGACTTTTATCTATTTGATGATAGAGTAAAGCATAAAACTTCACAATCCTCAGTATTTATTCATATCTTTTACCCTGTTTTTAACAATTGTATGCTTTATATTGTGTTATTTTCTTAGACATCCATAAACAAATATTTGAATAATTTCACCAAATCAAATTAAACTACATTTTTTAACAGCTATTAAAATACAATAGCTCTAAAATACACTCTTTCATTTAGTTTTATCCTTTCATTTCATAGGGAAGATTAAATGTTTAACATTTAATCTAATAATATTAAAGTTATTATCGAGTTAAATATTTTACATTTTAGTTACATCGAAGATAAAAAAAAAAGTAAATCTGGCTGAATTACCAACATGTTTTTCTTAGAAATATCCAAATGAACACTTCATAACACCTGATAAAGCTTCATGAAAAACATCAGGCATGATAAGTGCTAATAGGTAAGATTTTACATTTATAAAATGTGAAATATAACCAACAATTTTGCACAAAAAGGTAGAGAAAATGTTAAAATTTTTGCACACAATAAATTAATTTCACTTTTGCATTTTAATTTAATAAATACTAACTAACATATTTTTTAGAATATTCCAATATCTATGAAATGAAGGATAAAACAATAAATGAAAAAATATATATATTGCAGATTAATATTTTTATAATAATATTACTAATATAAACTAAAAATGGTAACATATATGCATAATAATAAATACTTCACTCATTATATTTTTAATAATTTAAAATAATGTTAAAGATGTTGATAAATAATAAAACAGATAAAGCAAAAATAAATTATAAGTATACAAACCAAAAAGTTTTGTATCAAAAAGTTAAAAAATTGTCACATCCTAATTATGAAATCAACCAAATTGATAACAGGTATTATACCAAATAACTTATCTTCTGTGAAATTAGTTTCTTTTTTTTTTTCATTTTTAAACAATTACTTATGTAAATAAAAAATTAAATAGAAAAGGAAAAAATATAAATTAAAAAAAAATTGAGTAAAACTAAAGTATTTGACCATATTTTTATTAAGATATCATAATACAGAATTTTTCTGAAAAATTTAATTGTTTTCCTAATTTAATCTCCTAAACTGTTAAAGTATTTCTATGTTATTGGTTATTGCATAAAATGGTAAAATTATATAAAATGATTGAAATTTAATATAACTTTTATTTACTTAGCATAATTGAACTAGATACAAGCATATGCATACAAGTATCATCAGACCTGCACCAGATAATTAAAACATTTCATTTACTTCACACTATATTTCATCAAAAATGAATGAAGTTATAAAAAATAGCAATAGTTTAAATGATTATAACTCTAAATTCTTCTTTAAATTAAAACATATTAGAATTAATATAATAACAGCAGTTTATTTCAGTAAAATGTTTCACAAATAAATAAAATTCTATGTAATTTATATAATTGAATATTAGAACTGAATTATTGTTGATAACTATATTTTTTCATACTAGAAATCACTACAAGTTTAATAATCCTTATATAGATGTAACATGAGTTGAATAGTTGTGGTGTAAATGGATTTATAAGCAATTTTTTGCACTTTCAAAACTTGTTAGTCGAAAGAAACAACTTTAGTTAAACAATCTGGAATCATAATCATCAAATTATTATCAATTTAACAACTCTGACAACCAATACTTTGGACAAATCTTACAATTTTATTGAAAGTGCTTGATAAAAAGCGGATTTAGCACAAATTATTGAAAATTGTTGGTTCTGTAAATAATTTAAAGCACAGAATCAAATGAATCTGAATGTAAAAAAAATTCAACAAGTGATTTTGGGCTGCTTTTAAAGTAAATAAGGTGAATAATAGCAGCACTATAAATACTAACATGTTAGCCATTTATGTAATAACTGCCGCTAAATAAAAATATGTAACTTGCTTATCAAATATAATTTTACATAGCTACCAATTTTTTTACTAAATCTCTTTTATATTATTTTTTTAACTGAAACTAAAAGAAACATTAACTATCTATGGTAATATAGAAAATAAAGGTCAGGCTAGTAAAACTAATAATAAAAAAACCCTAATTACTTTAATATTAAATTTATGATGAAATAAATTTATATAATTTTTTAAGTTCTAGCTCTTTGTATATTTAACACTATGAAAACATTCAACTTTTACTTTTTCCTGCCTATGTATTTTTTAAGTTATGTATTTTTTAAGGAAGAGCTGAACACTGCCTTGTAATTTATGTTCTTTACTACATGATGTACATAAATAAAAACTAAAATTATTCATATTTTTGCAAAACCAAGTTTTACTTAAAGAAATTAAAAGTCAAACTTCTGCAACTTAAAAATATCTTTTAAATCATAGTGTCATTATATAACTTGTAGTAGGTAGTGACTGTTTTTTGTCACTTTAGCTGTAATAATTATTATTGTATTTTGCTGCAGTATTAGACATCTGATATTACCATAAGTAATCAAATTATTTAGCTCTTCCTTGTGACAGTTACATTAATATAGTTATACAACTCTTGAGGCATTCACTCAAAATGAAAAATAAAGTTAAGTCAAAATCACCATAAAAGGTAAATCAGACTAAAATATATTTCAAAAGACAAAACAAAATCTTTAAAACTTCATACATTAATAGCTTTAACAATAATTTTAACATTTCATATTAGGAATTTCTAAATAATAATATTAAATTTTTATGATAAAAAAAACAGTATGAAGTTTTTGAAAACAAAAAAGATTAATGATTATAACACTAAATAATCCATGTTATAGCCTTAATTCAATTTCAGTACATTACAGTAGAGACATTGTAGTCTAAGGAGGTATGCTTTGGGAGAAGAGTCTTTACCTAATTGATAATGAAAATTAAAATATTTGATAATATGCTTTTATAAAACTGTTAAGCCATGAAAATACACAATGCAATGTAATAAAATTAAAATGGTCAAACGTGTGATTTGTAATAAAGGGGAATATTCAATAAAATAAACATTTGGAAAAAAATTCAGTTGTTCAAGATTTGCAAAAGTAAAAATTACAAAGTATTCATTATTACGCTAGATAACGCATTTTATTACTTTTTCTGGTATACATAAAATAATGAAGGATCAGTATATATTTAAAGTGGCTTTAAATGATTGGTAATTCAAATTAAGTTTATAAAAAAAAATTCTCAAAGAAAACCTATTTAAAACTTTAAGTAATTTTAAACTAAGATTGTGATGGATCATTTTAACTCTGATTACTGCAATATTACTGAAACAAAAAAAACTATAACACTGAAACAAATTACAGATACTATTTAAAAACACATCAACTTTTTAACATCATTAAAATTTAGACAATATCAGGAGAATTTAGACACTATCTTATTCAATAAAATTAAAATAAGAAAAGACATTGCCCTTCTACTGTTAATGTAATGGAAACTTAGATTTAAATTCTTAAATTTTACACATATTGTAAATGTAAAATAATAAAATTAAATAATTTGTAATTCAAACAGTTCTTTATGATATTTAAATTTATAAAAATTGGACAGCATTTAAATGATAAAAAGATAATTTGTACAAATATGCAGACATCAGTTCTTAAGCTTATTTGGAAATTAAAATCTCAAATGTAGCAAATTTCTTAAGGAAAAAATATGAACATAGAGATTGCCTACTACTTTAACATTAGGACAAAAAAATCTTAAATCAACTTGATAAACTATTTATTTTAACAAAGCCTTTCACAATATAACATATAGAATAATTAAAACATTTCAGTTAATTTCTAGTTTATCAACAGTGAGTCATCAGTTTTATCATCAATCAAAAATTTTATCATTATGAGTTAAAACATGTATTTTCATATTAGACAAATGAGAGAATTTTTTCCCACATAATGGACAAGCAAATGGTTTTTCGCCTGTATGAACCCTTATATGAGTCTTTAAATTATCCTTTCTACTAAAATCTTTTCCACATAGTTGACAAGCAAATTTTTTCCTCAAATGAAACTGAAGATTTGACTGAACAGGAGAACACTCTGAACTAGGAGGATTAATTATGTAACCTGTATAAAAAAATTAAAAAAAAGTTACATAAAAATTTTGTTACATGATAAGGGTAAACGATGAAAAATTGAAATAATATATTTCGCAAAAAAATTTAATTTTGTTAACAATTAAATCCATCTAAGACATACAAATTCATCTAAAATTAACCAGACCATTAGACAAATTTTTAGTGCTTTGAAATGAAATTTAAAGCATTGAAAAATAAACAGAACAACTATAGTCTAAATTAAAGTGTATATTTAAATAATATTTTTAAAAAATGACATAATATATTTTAGGTTTAATGTTAAAAAAATGAGAGAAAACTTTTTTTAACTGCTGCCAGAAATCAATACAGAAAATAAAATTTTTTAACAAAAACTTTACAAATTCCAAGCAAAATTGCCTGTATTTCAAAAAACTGGGGTAATTAAGAAATGATGCAAATCGAAAGCAAATAATCAAATTCCACAGTAGCAATGTATCTAAGCAACAGCAAAATCACATTTTAGTAGTATTAAATCATCAGAATTACATTTTAGTACATCAAGTAGAGATAATAGAGCTTTTTTTTAGCAATCTCTAATCGTAAATTTTTATTTTTAATAATTGGAACTTATATTTAAATTTCTAGGGAAAACTATGACTTCAAGAAAATTTATAACTAAACATTTTTAGAAATTTTAATTTGTATTCAATTTCCTATAAAACTCAACCTGTTTTAATGATCTAAAATTGAGTTTATAAAGCAGCTATGCTTTAGTTACAAAAAATTTTTAAGGCATAACATATCATGAAATTAAAAAATTCATTATTTACAATATTCCTAAGCACTTTAAGATTATTAAAGAGGGTATTTTTCAAAAAAATTTTTATAGGGATAATTTTTATATGTATATATTTTTATAATTTTTTAGAGCAATGACATAAGGGACATATAGAATCTTAGTAGGGCAGAAGAAAAAGATTTTCTTGAATATGCAAAGAAAGAGTTAGAAGTAAAGCAGAGAGACCTTAGGACTTTGAAAAATTTTATCTAATCACTTCACTTAATCAACCAATTCTTTAGTTTTTAAATTTTTTGAAATTGTTTTAACTGTTAACAACATTAACTGTTTCAAATTGTTCAGTGGAAAAAGCAATAAGTCAAAATTGTAAAAAAATATACATAGTTTGAAGTTTATGGAAAGGCACTTTTACACACCTCATAGTACTTTTTAATACTTTTATTTCTCATTTTATATTATTATATAAGCTTTAAATTTTTTCACTTAGTCACTTTAAATTTTTTCACACCACTACTTAGTGTGTTAGTTTTGTATTGCAATCGTATAGGGCTTATTTTCTTTGGCATAATTTTTTTTTTCTCTTTTTTTGAATGTTAAGTTCATCTGTACCATCCAAAAATGTTTTACAAAATATTTTTAAAAGCGAATCTGAGATAGATGAAAAATTTTACATGTATTTTTGTTGTTTATAGAAATGAAATGGAAAAGATATTTTAAATTATAAGGGGATGCCCCTATCAGCTTAAGAAGAGGGGAGAGGCATTGTAGGTACTTCTGATGATAAGAAAAAGGATGAACAGTGTTGTTTTTGATTAATTTTCATGACAAGACCTAGAATTTACACCATTATTTTTATTTTCAAAAGCTATTTATCAAAAGCATTTATCTATTGTGCAATCATTTTTTCATTGATCCTTAACCTTTTTTTTAGTATATAAAATAACTTCAAGTAGNGTTTTTTTTTTTTTTATACCGAGGATGCATACCGATTTATTTTTTGCGTCCCAATTTTTCGATTTTATTAAAATGTTTCGATATCAAAGATTAAAAAGTCGGGAAATTTATAAACTTTCTTCAAAAATTTACGCGTCCCGCGGGACGCGTAGCGATCATCTTTTTGCGTCCGATTTCAATTTTTTGCGTATTTTACGCGCTATAGCGCATAAATGTCTTCCCTGGGGTGACACCCTGAGAGAGTATTACTAATGAATACATAATAAATTATGGCTATCATAGTTATCTTTCGACCTTAAAAAATCATAAGGGTCACTGTCGTTTTGGATGCTCAACTACATTTTGTTTTGCCGCGCAAAAAATAGGAGACTTAAAAATGTGAAGGTGTGATTATGAAAGTGCATAGAAAAATTTATATGGAGTACAATGGAATAAATAATTTAACATTTGTTAAATAGTTCGAGAATTATTAACTGTTAAACTTGCAGAAAAAATACTCAATAGGCTGCTCTACTGGTCGCTAAAAGAGAAAGGCAACCATAGAGTTAAAATTTGGCATGTTGAAAGGGCCATGTTTGCTCATAAATTTAACAAAATGTTTTTTTTTCTTTCTTAAATTCCAAATTTTTGAAAATTTATTACAATTTTAAGCCTTATTTCGTTCATTCGTCTTTTATTTTGATACTCTTTCTTTTTGCTTCGAATAATGGTTGTTGTCAAAAAGTTTAATCTGTCTCGAGATTATCCTTTTATTAGCACACTTGACTTAATGTTAAAAATGACAACAACAAAAATAGATAAATAAAATAAAAGAAATAACAGAAAATGATCAGATGTAGTTAGATATAAATCATAATATTTATATTGAAATTTTATAAAAATATAAATATTTTAAGACAGATGAAAACTGTTTGCAATTTGAACTGTTATACAATATGAGGTTATAGTTATATGGATTGTTAACAAGAAAAATTACTTTGTATTGAGCACCACATTTTATATTCCGAAGTTGAAATTTTTTTTCAAATGAAGTTGATTATTTTTTATATTTAAGTAATTATTAATTTGGTTACAGCTAACATATTAACAAAACGTTCTTAAATAAAATTATAATAATTACATCTCTTATAAGCAAATTGATCTTTTTCTTTTAAAGTATCGAACTTTAACAGAGTAGCCAAATCTTTCAACAAAAAATAAGCACCTTTTCAGTACTTTCTAAGCACTCAAAAAATATTTTTAAGCATTATATACATTAACAAAATGCAAAATAATTTTCAAAGACTTTAGATGATTATGAGAAAATAACTAGTTTCTGACAAAGAACTTTTCTTGATTATTTTAGCCGTTATAAAATAAACGAGAGATTTTTCGGTTCGATATCAGAGGGTGGAAATTGAAGTCTGAAATTGAGAATATCTTGCTAAATGTAGCAGAGTTGCACATGAGAAGTCAATAGTCTCACCGAACTCAGCTCAGTAGATGCACATACGCACTTGAAAATATTTTATCAAACATGTAAAATGATTGGCGCTTTCATACGCTATGGACTGACAGTACACCAAAATGAATTGTGAAAATGTGGAATAGAACAATGTGAAAAGCACGCTATTGCATGTGGCGAAAATCGACATGGTAACGAAAAAAAATCTCAATTTTGAAAAGGGAAAAACTAAGCACTTTTTAAAAACACCCAATAAATAAAGCACCTTTAAGGGCTTTCAAATAATGAAAATAAGCACCTTTAAGCACTTTTTTTAAATGCTACCCACCATGTTTAAGGAAAAAACAAACACAGATCAATGAAAGGCCATCATGGCATTTGACAAACGGAGTGAACAAGCAGACCCTCTTTAGTACAGATAAAAATACATATGGATTAAATGTTATAAATTCTTTCCACACACTTCAAATTAATACTTAAATAAAAATAAATTTTTAAAAATATCTAGTTAAATTAAAATAATTGTTTAATTACATTAAGTTTGCACCTGAACTGTTCATTAAATTGATATTACTTTTGAAGGGAACAACACACCACCACTTGGTGTGTTAGTTTTGTATTGCAATCACCTAGGGCTTATTTTCCTTGGCATAATTTCTCCCCCTTTTTTTAACGTTAAGTTCACCTTCAACTTCTAAAAATAATGTTTTACAAAATATTTTAAAAGCCAATCTAATTGAGAAAAATCAAAAATTTCATATGTATTTTTGTTGTTTATAGAAATGAAATGGAAAAGATATTTTAAATTATAAAGGGATGCCCCTATCAGCCTTAGGAGAGCCATAGTTGGTACTTCTGATAAGAAAAAGGATATGCCGTGTTGTTTTTGATTAATTTTCACAAGGCCTAAAATTTACACCAATATTTTCATTTTCAAAAGCTGTATTTATCTATTGTGCAATCATTTTTTCATTGATCTTTAACCTTTTTTTCCAGTATTTAGAATAACTTCAAGTAGAAAATAAATACTTTCAAAAAGCAGAGAGGTAAATTGATGTTAAAACAAATAAATAGCTCAAATAACTGATATAAAATTCAAAAGCTATTAACTTATTTATTTCAGTTCTAAGTTTAAATTAAATTTTTCAACCTGCTTTAATTTTTCAACCAGAAGTTAAAATTTAAACTTCTCCAATACAGTTAGATAAATTTACAAAATTTCTAGTATGTTAGAAGTTTACCTAACAAGATATGAAACCTGGAATTTGATTCCCACAAGAGAACTTAAGAGTTTATCTCACACAAATTTTGATTCTTATTACACACATATACATTTAGCAATAATGTCCAGGTTTCCATTAGGTATATTTTTAACACTTTGACTTATTGTCAGTTGAGTACAGCAATATAAAATAGCAGAAACAGTCGCATTAATTATTTTTTGTTAATTAAACGATCTTGTTCATTTTACCTTAAAAGCGAAAATAAAAGTTATCATTGCGGCCGAAGAGAAGTATCAAAACTTCCTGGCATGGGCTATAGAATGGATCAAAAGATAACGTTAATGGCCTGAATTGGAAATAAAGGAAGATTTTCCACAATACGCAATTTTTCGAAGCTTATAAATTGTTATTAATGCTTTCAAATTATATAAATAAGGAGAAAGAAGTTTTTCATGTCATCAATTAAATGGGAAAATAATCAATAATACTAATGAAAACTAAACAGTTGAATGCGAAAAGTCGTTAAGAGTATAATTATGTAAAAGTATTGCATAAAGTTGCGTCAAGCATATACAAATAGAAGAAATAATATTTATAAAAAATTAAATTTTTTAATTTTATAGGAAAAAGATGTAAAAAAAACAGCAACAAAAATAAATGGTTAAGATTCAGTACAGCACACTTGTAACACCATTATGCCTGAACAAAAATATTATTAAAGCAACTGTAAAGAAATGATTATCTTATAAACAAATAGTAAATATATAACACCGTAACAATATTAATGAACACAAAACTCAATTTTTCTATTTTAAATCTCATAATATAACAATCATCAAAATCAACATCAATCATTAGGTAAATGATAAAATTGGAAGTTGAGATGTAATTTAGCTGACGATCTACGCCGCAAGACTTTTAAGGTAGCAGCCAATCGTAATTCGAGTTTTTTTTTTCCATTGTCAAATATTATTTTTTTATCTCATTATATTTTCTTTGTTTAAATCAATTATCAATATCAATGGATCATAAATGATTGAAATGACTTAAAAAGAAAATTAAGAGCATGTGGAGATGCAAAATGGAATCAAATAGTAAACAATTGGACAAATAATAAATAAATAAGAATGTCTTTAGCCAATAAATGTTATCTATTCGTTGATCCATTAAAATTTAGAATTGGAAAATTAAAATTCATTTAGGAACTATATTAATCACTTCATTCTTTATTTATATTTCGGGAAACAATAGAATATTTATGTATATTCCATTGATTTCTGCAAGGATGGGCATCTTGCTTGCTAGCTTCTGTAGCATCTGATCATAAAATTTTCAAAACAGAACTCCTGCAGCTTATGCTTTGTTCCTTGATATCATCACTCGTATTATATAATAATAATAATTGACTGTTAAATATAATTAGAATTTTTTATCGCAAATTGTGTTTACGATAATGTTCTGACTTAAAATTAATCTACTTAACTATTTTTAATGGGATGATTATCATAACTACGGCAAGGCCAAGTGCCGCCAATTTTTTGGCGACCTATNTTTTTAATGTTTATCATAATGTTAATTTCAGTATTAACGTATGCTGTATTTATTGATTTGTTTATTTGGATGAATTTAATATAGTTACTATAATTCATTTGATTTCAATAAAGTTTCAAGTAAATCCGATATTTAAATAATACGTTGTAAATAAACTTAACTTAATAATATAGCTTTATTTAGTATTTAAGACATTTTATGCAAATTGCTTCTCTTTGATTTGTTTTCAACCTAAATTGATAAAAAAATATATATATGTATGTGTATATATTTATATAAATCCAAATTGTGAAGTTAAATAGTGATTCATTTGTAAAAGAATATGTAGAAAAGGGAGTATATTTATATTTTAATTTATGCATGAAGCACATTAAGTTATACAATAATAAAATGTTTTTTTTTCAATGCAAATTATATTTTATTGGAACAACCCTGTATTGGTAATTTAATTCTTAACTAATTATAAAATACATTTTTGGATTTAAAAAGAAATCTAAATGGTAAAAGAGTGTATTTTAATTTATATTTGAAACACATTAAGTTATACAATTATAAAATGTTTGATTCAATACAATTTTGCCATTTATATTTTATTAAAACAACCCTACATTGGTAAATTAACAGTTAATTAACTATGAAATACATTTTTGTATCTTTAAAAGAATCAAACTGGTTAAAGTTAAAGTAGTTTATTATTAATTGTGAAGTTTAATATTTATTCATAAGCAAAATAATATAGAGAAATAGCATATTTATATTTTAATTTATATTTCAAAATATAAATTAATTTATAATTAAAATAGTATATTTATACTTTAATTAATGTTTGAAACACATCAAGTTGTATGACTATAAAATGTTTGATTCAATGCAATTTATATTTATTTTATTTTAAAAAAAAACTGTATTGGTAATGCAATTTTTCAATTAATTTCNTTAATTTATATTTCAAAATATAAATTAATTTATAATTAAAATAGTATATTTATACTTTAATTTATGTTTGAAACGCATCAAGTTGTATGACTTTAAAATGTTTGATTCAATGCAATTTATATTTATTTTATTAAAAAAAAAAACCTGTATTGGTAATGCTATTTTTCAATTAATTTCAAAATAAAAAAATACTGTATTAATAATTTATCATGTATAACAATAAAATATATTGAAAAAGTAAATAAGTTTATTATTGATTGTAAAGTTTAATACTAATTCATTTACAAAAAAATATATAAAAAGCATTATATATTACATGTATTAAACATAAGTTATGCAATTTTAAAATGTTCTCCTCAATGCAATTTTTTATTTTATATTAAAAATTCATGTATTATTAGTTTTGGAAATGAATTACAATAAGATAAATTTTAGATTGTTAAAAAACAGATCTAAATAGTTTAAGACATTTGCTTGTTCATTGATATAATTTTAGACTAATGGCACCACTGTTATATTTTCAGATAAACATATTAGGTTGAAAGCTGATGTTGATAATTATTCCATTCAAGAGCATTTATAAGAATCGCTCTTTGGGAGCCTATGTCTTGACCATAAAGAAATATGTTATTCTCAGTGATGTGACAAAAATTCTTTCATTTTTGTTATCAAAGTTCATGATTGGTATTAATTGATTTATTTAGTTAAATTCTTTTACAAAAATATCATTTTTTTAAAAATTTATTTAATTATTTCTTATCAAAAATCCTGTAGATCCATTAATTATTAAAAAAAGAATTCTGCCTTTTAGGAATTTTTAATACTACTTATTGAAGTAAGTAACATTTAAAATGAAAAGTTAATTTTAAAATTTAAATTTGTTAAAAAAATTTGATGTCCCAGATCATGATTTATTTATAATAATATATTATTTTTGAAACTTGATCTTTTTTCATTGCAAATTTTATTAAATTTCTATTTAATTTCAATGTGTTACATGCAATTATATATTTACTTGATTATTATATTTTTAATTGCTTCAAACAATAAATGTATACAAGTTCTCTATATAAATATGCTCAATCATTTACTGTAATTTCATTTTAATATTTCTCTCTTCTATTTACAGAAATAAATAGATTTCAGTATTTTTCTTTTTTTTTTTTTTAAGGTTTCAATTACTTTATCTAACTGATTAATATTTTTAGCATTAATTTTAACTTTGAAAAGTTGTATATGTCCATTTCTATATCATTTCAGTTTTATTAACAACAAAAATGTTTTTGTTTACTTATATTACCTAAGTTCTGTTCATGTTTGCGCTACATATTGAAAAATGAGTAAAAATTGTGCTTTTGGTCTTGGTTATGTCTAATTTTATCAGACTAACTAAATCTGACACATTTTTTTGAGCAAAAAAAGTTTTAAAAAATTTTTGTTAGAATTTTCTTTAGATAGTTATTTTAGTAATAATTTAATATATATGTTTTTTACTTTGATTAATTGGTAACTTATGTAATAATTCTATCAGCTTGTGTACTGAAATTTTAAAATTACCTCTATTAAATATACTCATTGTATAGAAAAAAATAGAAGTTTCTATAAATAGCTTTTGGTGATGATGTTCATTATATACAGTTTATTACTAATTTTTTTGTCAATCTAGTTTATTGTGGACTTAAGAATTTCTTAGATGTTTATCATCATTTCTTAAAAATGTGAGTTAATGTTAACATTGAAAAACTCCTATATTTTGAGCATTTGCAGTATAAACACTTAAATTTTTAAACATTGCTATTTTTCCTAATTGCTTTTAAATTAATTCTTTTGTACTTTAAAAAATCTGATTAATTAATTAATGTTTTTTGTAAAAACATCTTTCAAACTATTTTATTACTGATTCTTTTTGTATTTTTAATTATTATGTATTTTGTATGTAATGTAGAAATTTTTTGTTGCAAAAAGAAAGAAGAACTATAACATTTAAAACATTGCCATTTTTAAATTTTTTTTCAAATTATTAATTATCTTGTACTTTTTAAATTAATAATTGCTAATTATTTTTGTATTTTTAAAATCTAATCTATTTCTCAACTTCTTCATATCTAGAGTATCCAAAAAATATTTTTATATTTCTGTAAGAATCATTACCTTACTTTAATCTATTCTTATTTATTGTAATATTCTTTTAGAATCAAAGAATCATAATGTTTCATTATAATTTACTGTTGTTTAATAGTAAATATGTTTTTTATTCCCTTGTACTTTTTAAATCTATTTTGATACAGATGCCTTTCTTATTTTTAAAATCATATTTATTACACTATATTTTTATTTTAATTAAAATGACTACCCAAAAAGTTTATTGTATTTAAGCACTATTGTCTTATAATTTATTATGTTCTTTTAATGATTTTTTGTAAGTTTTTTGTTCAGAATTATGAATTATTTTATAACTTTTAATTTTCAATTTTATTTCTGTTTCATGTCTTAAAATTTCAATTTATTTCCAGTGTTTCATTAATTAGAGTACTGCTACATTTTAGTGAAAATTATCGTCTTACTTATATTGCTTTTGTCCTTTGTAATCAATTCTTTTCTCTGCAATCAAATATTTTCACTTAAAATTATTTGTTTTCTTTAAAATTGTTTATTACCTATTCCATATATTTATATAATATCTATTTTTTAATATTTCTTTCCTTTCAGTATCTATATCTAAATTTTGTTCTCTTTCTTTGCAGTAAATATTTTGTGCTGTTATCTAAAAAAATATTTTTTGACTATTATAATGTCTAAAGTAATATGAATTTTTTACTTAATAAATTTCTTATTATTCTTTTGTATACTTTTAAAATCAGTTATTGTAGTTTTATTGTTAGTTAATTCATACTTTTTAAAAATATTATAATTTTGATTCTCTTTGTATATTTTTAAATTCCAATTTATTGCTTAATTTTTTTATTTGTCAAATTATTTTTATTATCTAATGTGTAAGCATAAAAGTTTCATGTATATACAAGAACTACTGCATTTATTAACTTTTTATTTTTCTTCTTTCATGTTTTGAATTGAAATTTCTTCATAATATTTTTTTCAAGCTTAAAAAAATACCTTATATTTGAGTAAAAACTATTGCCTTACTTCTAATGCATTACAGCTTAGGCAATCCCAATAAATTCATTATAATGAGATTATCTTTGTATCTAAGAAATTATTTCAATTTTTAAAAATGTCACATTGCTGTTTTTAAATGCCTTTAAATGTAACATAATTTTTCTTGTATTTTTAAGGTTCAAAAATATATCCTTTATTTATGAAATTTCTATTTCTTACACTTAACTAATTAATTTTATACTTATTTCTTTGCTTTCAGGATTATTTTTTTCTTCTTCAAATTCTTATTTTCTGAATAAATTTAGCTTTTTATTTTTATTAAGTAATTTGATAAATTATTTTTAGATATAGTATTATGTACTATTTTGCAAGTTTTTTTTATATGTTTATGTTTAACAGAAACAGGGATTAAATGTTTTTATGTGTGTGTTGCCTGTTTATTAGATCATTTTATATTGTTAGTTATTAAATTATATCTTTTGAGGTAAACTTTTGCATAAATGGGTCAAACTTAAGTAAAAAAAATAATACAATTAAAATAATTTTTTATGTTGATTAAATATATTGTTAAAATATTTTGGAATAACATAAAAATTAAAGATTACTTTTTATAGAATATAATTTTTTATTTGCTTCTGTAGAAACTAAATGTTTAATTTTATCTTTACAACTAAATTTATGCATATTGTTATATTATGAATAAAGAGAAGCATGTATTGATTAATTGTATATATTTTTTATTACCTCATACTCTTAGTATTTACTATTAGATTCTTAAATCCAGTTGATTAGAATAAACTCTGGAGCTGTTAAAAATTAGATTTTAAATCAATTTACCATGTTTAAAATACATTTTTTATTTTCATTTGCGAGTCTATGAATGGTAATAAAGAAAACTAAAGTACTAATTACAGAAAAGGTCAAAAATTGTTCTAATTAATGCTGCATTCAACAGTTGTGAAATATCACCTTTTCAGCTAGAGAATATCAAATTACCTACAAAAACATGAATTTAATAAACTGTAGGGGAGAGTCGGGTAGTCCCGCCCACTCAAGGAGTATTGCCTATATTTCTGTATAATATTGGGTAATTATCAATATTTTTGTATGTTTCTATTGTTTTACCATCTAATTAAATAATGCAAAAAGAATAAACCAAAAAAAGAATAGTTTAACTTAAAAAAATAGAAATTTAAAAAAACATGTTTTTCAGCTCTTTTCGAAATGTGTCGGATAGCCCCGCCCAGTTACAAAAATTATGTATTTTGACTGTTTTTTCAGGTGTAAATGAAAGTGACCAATGTATTGGCAATAGATAAACCTCATTTATCATTTTTATCACAAAATTATTTTATTTATTACATATTTATATACTTTTAGTGAATTCCATCATTTATTAACAATAATTTAATAACAACAATATTTGTTGTTAAAAATGCATATAACATTTAAATTTGAAGCAATAAAATAATAATCTTTGCAACCGTACATTTACCGACGAAATAAAATTGGGCGTTGATACCCGACATTTATGTGAGCGGGGCTACCCGAAATCCAATTTTTTTGTAAATTTGTAATTACTCGAACAATTTTTCACATATAAACTTCGTTCTTCGTGCAAATTAAACTTAAGACAACATACTTTAATGCTGTATGTATAGAAAAAATTATTGTTTTAGTATTAAAATGAAGTTTAATCGAAACATTCAACCAATTTTTCTTAATTTCATGACTACTGTATTCAACATATTTTCAAAACTATTGTTCACCACGTTAACAGCTGCATAAATACTTGAAACTTTGAAAATAATCTTTTTTTAATATAACAATTAATGCCTGATGGCCCATTGACTTGAAAAAATATTCTATACATATGAAATTTACTGTGGGCGGGGCTACCCGACTCTCCCCTATAAGTTACAATTTACTAAAATACCAAATTTTTCAAGAATTTTATCTATTAGCGTGGGAATATATATGTAAATTAAATTAGACATTATGTTATGTTGGTTGGAGATTTTGTTGGAGAAATTTTTATTCTGGAACAACTTGCAATGTATATTTTAAGAACGCAATGTGTACGCAACTCAAAATGTGCAGTGAAGAAAATGAACACAGCTCAAAATGTATATTTAAGGAAAAGAATGCAGCAAAAATGTGCCTTTTCAATATTCAATCCAAATATAAGAACTAAGCAAGGAATTTCATGCCTACTTTTCTTTACTTATTTGAACACTGAGCATAATCATTGTAGAGCAAATTTTACAGTCACGGATTATTTATATTATAGATGTAACTTTTACAGCATCTTTTCATATTCAAAGCTCATATACAACAAAGTGAGTTTTAAAAATCTAAATTCCTACTATGTAAATTTACCACCACTGTTATAAATTTATAGGGCTGATGGTTAAATAAGTGTTAACTTTTAATATCTTTTTCTTTAAAAAAATATTAAATAGATAAAGAATAAGATTAGTTCTATAACTGAGTGATCATTTATGTAAATAGACGTTATCACATAATGAATTTATTTGGATTCATTAGTTTATTTTTTAAAGACAAAACAATACTAAGAAATGCCAAATGCAATGTCCAATTTTTATAAAAATCCCTTTCAAGCTGAGCACATTTTCTTAAACATGCTTTTTGAACTGTGTTTTGAGTAAAAAGCTGACTGACAGATTGGTAATCTATTAAGTTATTATAGAATTCTTATATTTTACTCTATACCACATTTATGTGTTTTAGGTGATAAAATAATTAAAGTGAAGTAGATCATTCTGAAATATATTATTTTTAAAAGAATTAAGCTATCCTCTTTGAGATCGTTTGTAATGTAAATTAGCTTGATCAAACATGTTTCTTTATTTTAAAAAAAAACCTATATAATTGTATTAAATGTAAAATTTTTAACACTTTATTTAATTTTAGGGCTTCTCAACAGAAATTCATTTCCCATAAACAAACCCAAAGATGGCAGTCCTTTGAATTTTTGCAAAATGTGTTCATACTCCACTGCATACAAAGGAAATCTTAAAACACACATGTTGGTTCATACTGGAGAGAGACGTTACGTCTGCAACATTTGTCATAAATCTTTTAGCTTGAAAGGAAATTTAAAAACTCACATGAGGCTACATTCTGGTGAGCGTCCTTACGAATGTGATATGTGTGATAAGAAGTTCACACAACAATCTGCGCTTGTAAGTCATCAAAAAAGTCATGTGAGATGGAATGAACCACAAACACAAGATTTTGACTATCAACTGTAATTGAAAACAAAAAAAAGTGCACCTTTGAGCATTTCAATAACGTACAAAATTGTTGTAAGAAGACTGCTGATTTTATGTGGCTTAATGCATTCTTTTTGGGAATATCTCTGATCATATTTTCTTTTTTTAAAAAAATTCGGCAAAGAAATAGTGTTTTTTCATTTACTTCTAAAGACTAATTAATAAATTGAAAATAAAATATTTTAAAAAAGTTAAAATAAAATAGGTATTTCAAACAAAATATATTACAAAATAATAATTAGATTATTAATTCTTCAGAGGCATCACTTGCTTTGCCCGCTGTAGCCTAACAAAATTATTTTTCAAAACTCCTTGTACATTTTGAAATATCAAGATTTTTAAAATGGTGTTTATATCTTTGTTTGCTGTTGACCCAAATGACATTGGTTTATGCCCCCTAGATAATTAGAAATCTCAAAAAGTCCTCTGTATTGTTTCAGACATAAATAAAATTTTCTGAATCATCATCAACATAAATTTAGTTAAGTTAAAAACATTTTAAGAAATTTAAAAATGATTGATCATTTATTATACATTTAGATTTATTATACATTTCTACATGTTTGGTAATTCTATGAAAAATTGAGAAATCATTCATTCTTTATGGGAAATAGATATTCTTTTAGTAAGTTTTGAACTGTTTGTTAAAATCAAAACGCTCTGGTACCAATGAGGTCAAATTAAATAGGAAACATTATATAATAAAAGTCATGATTATTATAAAAAATAGTACCAAATACTAAAAGGTATAGTTATGATCATTCAAAATGTTTTACTGTTTTGTTCTAGTTTTATTGTTTACATTCATAATGTGGTATCAATTAAAATGTTAAACATATAAAAATTTCCAACACTGTTGCAGAAAGAGAAAACACAGTTTCCACAGAAAAACTAAAAACAGTTAAAACTAGTGTGTTTGAGTTATTTCATCATCCAGGCTTATGTTTACTATTTAAAAAGATATCTTATTGTTACTGTTTATAAATTTAAAAATAACATGCACAGAATTTGTTTGAAAGCTTTTGTCATTTTTAAAGAAGGAAACAAGCCTTAAAGAAAATATGATCAGAACAACATATTACTATAACTTTTATCATTTTCTTTGTCTAGATTTTAGCAGAACGGACTTGGTAATGTAGTGCTGCTTATTTATTAACCCATTGAGTGGCTTTATCTGCATATTGTGTTGCTTAAGCCTGTGAATAATCTATGCAAAAGCTGAATATCAGTGACAAATCATTTACACTCACAGGTTTTTTTATGTTACAGCCACTCAGCGAGTTAGTGAACTGCTTTCCTTTTCAGTCAAGCTTATGTCATATATTCTGGTTAGAAAAGTAATATTCTCATATAAGTAGTATTTTTGTAAAGCTTTTGTGACACCATATAATATTTTGTGCAATGTATTTATTTTCAGAGTAGACGCTGTCTGATTCAGTATCAAATATCAGTATGTAAAATGTTAGCTGTGAGCATTACAAAACAAGGAGAATCTGTAAAGTTTTTCTAGTATGCTATTGGAAATTGGTGTAATTTATTGAGTAAGCTAGTACAGTATTTTAGCAACGCTCAATCTTTCTTTAAATAGGATATAAAATATTGTTACATATTCTATGAAAAATCAAAACATTTTTTGATTTGATTTCGAACATGCATTAAAAGAAACGATAAATAAATTATATGCCAAATGTTTTAATCACAATTTCTATTTCTTCCTTTAAATGTTTGTGATATTTAATATGTTTTATTATAATTTCTAATTATATGGCACAAATCTTTTTTATAAAGAAGTATTAAAAATCTCTTTTTAGACATTTGTATACTTATAAATAAAGACATAAACAATAAATTTATAACAATAGATAAATAAATATTTTCTAATTTTTAATATCTTAGTCATTTTTATTTAAATGTGTTTTAATTCATTTGAATATATTTATTTAATTTGAGTAGATAAAATTTAAAATTGTCTTCCTTATATTAATATGCAATCAAAGTGTGATGAGTTAACTTGATTTATCAGTGCCATTTTAAATTCTTTTTGCATAATCTGTCCAAAATTATTGAGAGCATTTCATATTTAAAAAAATAAAGAGATACCTAGTATATGCTTATTGGCTTCTTTGAAAGGTAGATTCATAGAGTTCTACATAACAAAATTTTAAATGTTAATTTTTTTCTACATGAGTTGAACATGAACATAATCAAACAAAAAATTCACTCCATTTAGGACCATGCTTATCAAACTGATACTTTTTGTCCCATTTCTATGAAGAATATTTATTGAAATATTTTCATATTGAAAAACAATGTGTTTTATCAGTGTTAATATGTGTGTTATAAAACCCTGATATTGAAACAAATTTTAAGTACAATATTAGTAGAAGAATATATACTTTTTTTTAAAATTGTAAGTTGTTATTATTATTTATTCTGAAACTCTTAAAAATATTTCTTATGTTTTGCTGTTGTGCAAGCTTAGAAATTAAAGAAAATTCATTATTGGATTTTACATATTGTAGGAAAAAAGAGACCAAGAAATAAAATTCCAATATGAAAATACTAATTATAATAATATTATACCTTATGTAACATTATTAATATTTTAACATTACTGTATGTATAAAAATGAGTTCAACCTATAAAAGCGCAAATGATCTAATTTGCTAATTTCAGGCAATTGTTTCAATATTATGAGAAGCACCATCATCAACATTTGATTCTGCAGCTTGACTATAATAATGGTGCTTCTCATATTATACTGCAACTATTTCCTGTCTTTGCAAACTTCCATTATTTGTGCTTTTGTAGATTGTGTTTTGCTTTTTAATTTTTTTTTCTTAGAAATATTTAGCCTACTATATTGTGATATAGTAGTCTTTTTTTAATAATTATGATCTGTTCCCTTAAATTGTATGTTTTCTTTGTTAATTTCTTTTTATATACAATTATTATTTAACAAAACTTCCCCGTTGTGATATTTTTTTTTCTTCAAAATAATTTCAAAATTAATAATGTTTCTTGATTTGACAAATGTATTTGTTAATTTGGGAAAGAAATACTGCATCTAAAAAATTGAGCCTATTTCTTTTTTAAAATTAACAAGACTTAATTACAAAAATGTATTGTATAAATATTCTCAGAACAAGTTAGCTAAAAGGTCAAAATGAGTTTGATGATTTGCATTATGGTGCATTTAATTTATTATTCCTGTAGTTTTCTTTTGTATAAGTTTGTGTGATTGTTAACATTTAACGACTGTTTTAACTCATTTTTCTCTTTCGCTATTTGACACCATTTTAGTTCTTGTTTTTACATATTTGTCTTTATTGAATGCATGTTAGTAAAATTAATCTGATTTTCAAATAATTTTTATCTATTTGAAAAGAAAAAAAATATATTTTCATCATTGTTATGTATTATTTATGGCTTATTATTCCTGTGTGATAAAAAATACTTCATCAAAAAATTTATTTATTTGAAACAAAAGTCTTTTTGTTGTTTTATTGTGATATTTAATTTTTTTTTTTTTATGTTATCAAAATGAAGCAGCTTTATTGAGTGATATTTACTATGCATTATATGTACATGAAGTTTTAAATTCAAAACTTCTGTATGCTTCTGTGTGTTTAGAAACAAACAAGTAGTTTGCTGTGTCAAAGATATATTATACATATACTATAATCATTTTCTAGTCTGTAGTGTGCAAATCAAAACATAGATATCTTTCATATATGTATATGTGTGTGTGTTAGCATGTATGTACAATTAGCTATTTTAGATGAATTTGTTAGAATTATATCAAATAAAAAGGACAAACATTTTCCTTTGTTTTATTATTGTTTTTATAGAAATTGTCTATTCTTATTCATTTATACTGTGAAATTGAAATGTGGTTTCTCTCTTACTAATTTAGTTATTCAGAAAGCTCAGATACACTGAATATTTGATGATTTAGAACAATAACGTCCTAAATCTGAATTCTAATTGGAAAATTGGAAAGAATTGCCCAAATCAGAAAAAAATTCTTGTCTTTATCCATATTAAACTGTAATTCCATTTGCTGTTTTAGTTATTTTTCTTCATTTCCTTTGACATAAATCATATACCCTTGTATACTTTATTAAAAAAATTACCATGTGTCTCAAAATAATCGGTGATTAAAAAAAAATTATTTAAGAGAAAAGGAAATTTTACTGTTAGCATATCTGTTTTGAAAGTCAGGAATTCCCATCCCAATTTAAAAAATAATTGCTGAGTTCATTGGAAAATGGTGCTGCTGTGAAAATTATGAAATTGTGTTTTCAAATTATCTTTCACTTGTTTCAATAATGTGGTGCAATCATAGGATAAAGTTGTCAGACACTCTAGCATATGTTTTAGTTGGAATGGTCTGACATACTGCAAATATTGTTTTATACTTTTTTCTACTAGCAGGGCTATCTGCTTTCAAACTTTGTTTTTAATTTTGAAAACTGTTAACTAGATTAATTGATTATCATTAATTAGTTTTGTATAATTTTCAGCCACTTTTTCGGACACCTGGTATAAGTCGCAAATATCAAGACGAGGATTTTATGTCTGGAACAGACCTGATGCCTTCAGACTCCTAACATAAATTTAAAGTTTGAGAAACATATGATTATTTTATTTATACTTGGAATAAAAATTGCAGATATTATTTTGAATTGCCTGTTAATAGCTTCATGCATCTCCTTTACTTATTTATTTAATTTTTTTAATTTATCAACACCTAGAATACTAAAAATCTTTCTTTATTTTTATTTATTTATTTATTTTTTTAATTTCATCTTGTGTTTTGTAACAACAGACATTTTTTTAAAAAAAGAGAATATTGGAGGGTTAGTTATCCAATGTTACCATCACTTTATTTTGAATTTTTCCCGTTCGTATATATAATTTAAAATGTTTATATATTTATTTATTTATTTTTTTTTTTTTTTCAGAAAAAAATTGAATTTGTAATTGATATGATAATTCATTTTTTTAAAAACTTATAGATTTAATTGTATGAATGTAAATAAATTAGAAGTGCGAAAGTTGATGTCCGAATGAATGGTGACTTGGTGAATTTAGTAGTAAAATTATAAGAAAAAATTCTTTGTTGCATTCAGAAGAAAACCAGCCCTGTTCTTCAATAGAAATTCTACAAAAAAGTTTGTTTTCTCGCAATGAGTTATTTCTCAATTATTGCAAGACCTTGTTCAACAATAACTAAGAGTCATTATTATCATTTAAAAAAAATCTGACTACACATTATTAATTAAGAATGCCTGCACAATATTAACCTTTTCCTTGTGGTGCTTAACATGGTGAAACCAGTAATTTTTTACTACCCATAAGCAAAAGGTTATTAAGGAAAGTAATCTTGCAATTTCTAAATTAGACAGTGAAAATTTTTTGGTAGATTATGTTAAAACAAATGAGTTCTATCTCTCATGAGAGCTCCATCATAGCTTTTATGAACATCATTATTCAACTGGTACTATTCAATACACAACTTGTACCTACAATGGAAATTAAGCTGCATTACAAGTGTGTCACATTGACAGTACATCAAAAGATAAAACAAAGAGAATCGAGAAACATGAATACATATTATGATATTTAAAATTGTATACCAGGTTTATTGATATAGTTTTTTAAGAAAAAAAAAATCGATGTAAAATTAACATAATTTTAAAAAAAATTGTAAAATTAACTCTTGCACAATTTAAAAAATAAATAAATGAATAAAACTTGATCACAAAATATATTTTCATTTTTGGTCTATTATCTTAAATTGAAGTAACCTTAGTGTTGATTCTCAATTTGCTGAAACAAAAACGTGTCTGACTAACATTGTTTTAAACATGTACTATTGTTTCTTTTTAACCTATAACAATGTCTTTCATTAAAGAACTTTCCCAAAGATTATATTTAAAATTTCAGGATTGCATTACTTGTAAGCAAGACATACCTCGACAGATACAAATCAAACAGTGTTCATGTGTTATTAGATCTAGCACCAATTTTTAAAAGAAAAGTTTTGTGAACAGACTTTTAGTTTACTTTTATTTCTGTCTGAAAGCTATTCATTGATCTATTTTTTATGTTTAGTTCATCACTTTTTACAATTGGTGCCCCCCGAAAAATTTGCTTTTTGATGGTGTAATAACCTACCAACAAATTATTAAATGATTAAGTTAATTTTAATTTTTTTTTTCATTTTTAGATTTGTTTACCAAGTCAAGAACCAAGTCTTTTGGCATTCTCAACTACTGTTCACTTTGTTCATATTCCACTCCACACAGAGGAAGCTTAAAGAACCATCTACTTACCCATACTGGGGAGCGTAAATTCACTTGCAATGTATGCCAAAAAGCTTTTGGCTTAAAAGGAAACCTCAAAACTCATATGTTAGTGCATTGTGAAAGCGCATTTTCTTGCTCCTTCTGTAACAAACGATTCAAGAGCAAAGCAAGCCTTCAATATCATGTACATAACTCTCATAGTTAATGTTTCGAAATTCTACTAGAACTGTATTCTGCCGTGCAAAAGAAAAATCGACGTAAACGACAAAAAATTCAAAATCGAGATATTTATATACTAGGTATCTTTGTACGATGAAATTCTATTTTATCGTTGATAGCATTATCAATAGAAAGAAAATAGTTGTTAAGTCAATTTTCTCAAAATCAATCGTGAAGCCCTAATGTTCTTTTTTCAATTGCACGGCAGTATTAGTTTGTTTTAATAAAGGTGGTTAAATAGCCTTCTATTATGGTATAAATTCTAACCATGTCTCAAAATTTATTTATTAAAAAAAATATTTTTATAAGAAGAAATATATTTTCAGAAAAATTCAAAGCAACTCGTTTTGAAATAACTTTTTGTTCCGAAAGCTATTTCATCGTACCGAAATTTTTCTGGGTCGTCAGTAGACTCTCAGTTATTTATATAGTTTAGTTACGTAAAAAATAAGTTATGTGACACTGAAAAATACTCTTTCAATATAAAAAAGAATAAAATCAGGTAGTAAAAACTGAAGGAATACGAAGTTTCTTTATACGATTTTCAATTTTTAGTCTTCTTTCCCTAAAAAGGGGGAAAAGACATAAACTGGTATTAATAATGAATATACTTCAGCTTCTGACTCTAAAGATTTCACTTTATACCCCCCATTTTTTTAATGTGCTTTTTTTTCTATTTCTGCTATTAAAGAATTGTATGGTTATATTTATTTCTAATCTGCTGTAATTTTACGTTAAAAAGAAAATCACTACAAGAAAGTGTTTAAAAAATACTAGCTTATCTATTTTAAGAAATAAATACAAAGAAGGAAAAAAATTGTAGAAAAATTTCGTTGTCAATATAGTCTTTACGAATTTAAAAATTTTAATAAAAAATGCTTCGCTGAAAATTGAGGGAGTGTCACAATTCGATTAGGCGGCAAAAGGAAAGAGCTTGTGCGGTATCGCTTTTCGTTATACTGTTTGTAAAGTACGTGTACCTCGTCGTTAAAATTATACAAATTATAAATAAACTGTAAACAGCCGAAGCATTTATAGCGCCATCTATAATTAAATCTTTATGTTGGAATTCAATGAAAGCTATAAGCAATGTTGCAGAAATCTCTGGTTCCTCCATTACAATGAAGTAAACTGAAATAAGAAAGAAAAAAATAATATTTGTGTACATTTGTAGTTAAACAGAAAATAATATTTTGTTTAATTTTTCAAAAATAATGCCTTTTTACTGTTAAGTTTATATTATAACTGCCGAAAAAGCTAATTCAGATTATATATGACAGCATTCATACCATGTACAGACGTGCCAACTTTTAATCCCTTCCATTATCATTTTTCCCAGTGGTATTAAAATGGAATTAAAACTTCAATTTTAAGCAAACTAATACGTTGTATTTGAAAAAAATTAAGTTGACAACCATGATAGTAACGCATATTAATATGTAAGCTTAATTTTTGTAAGAATAGTGGTGATCAAAATCATTTAAAAATTAAATTTATAAAAGAAAAAATAGTATGTATTTACTACCACTTTAAATATGAAAATAAAATCTCCCGCAAAATGCGGGAGAGTTGGCAGGTATGCATGTAGTTTTGTATTCAATTAAAATAATTCTTTAATTATGATTTGTTTTAATCAATCTAACATCGTTTTGCCAATTAATATTTCAATATTTCCTTCATAAAACCAAAATTTTAAATTTCTCTTTTTGCGAAAGAAAGTTATATTGGAAGTTCTTGCTTTCATATCAACAGTGTAGGTACTTTAGTTCAGAGGTGTTCGTTTCATCGTAATTGTTACAAAGTTGTTCACTGTTTAGAGTTAATAGTTATTAAGTGTAAATTTCTTTGCTCATGCATGAAAGAAATACTAGTGTGCTTGTGTACATTATTACATTTCTATAATGTATGGGATCTTGAAACATTAACTTGAAGACAATTAGGAAAAGTTCATCTTATTAATTTAGTGTTGATAATTTTTACCATGCATTAAAGTATACAATTCGACAACCAACTATAAAAAAAAGTTAAAAATGTAGTGAAAATTTTAAAATGTAATAGCATGGACAATTGTGATTGCTGTTTCCTGACTTAAGCACATTAAAAATATGTGTAGAAATTTTTTTTTCTATGAATAAATATATAATAAGTAAATGTAAGGAAACATTTAAAATAATATTTATTTGAAAATTAAATAAATATTTTTTAAAGAATCATGTCTAAATTTTGAAAAAAATATTATGGATTTTTACTTTTTCATTGCAAAAACATCTTTGAATCACTTATATTTTTAT